CTGCTCGTTTTTGTGGACAGGCTGTCTCACATTGCTTTTATGTGTAATGTCTGTTGCCTGTCCTTCCTTGTTTCTGTGACCTTAAGGAGTTGTTGAGTGTTATCTGGAATAGGTTTTTAGAAACTGTGTTGCCGAGTTAGAGGCTTGATATCCTTTGGGATTTTGCCTTTGTAATTCATTTGGTTTGCGACCTGGAGGTCAGCCTGTGCCACGCGTTGTGCCCAGTGTGTGGGGTAATGAGACAGTTGCCCACAGACCGCCAGAGAAGCACCTTCTATGGACATCCTGGCGTGTTTCCAGAGCCACTCAGGCCTGAGTGGCCAGCAGGGGAGACTCCCCTCTGCTGTGTCTGGGCCTTCCTCTGGCCTATGGGTGGGGTCGCTCCCTGTGTGCAGTGGGTCGAGGAGCATGCTCCGCTATCTATCTCTATATTGCTTACCATACCTGGGGTCAGGGACCTTGGATATGAGTCCTTTACTGGTTCATTAATTTTGGCTGAAGTCTGTCTTGGATCCCATGTTGCATTCAGAGGCATGTTGGGTTGGTGGTTTATGTTGGATACTTGAAAACATGTAGCTGGTCATATGTGAAAACATGTAGCTGGTTCTATTCAGTTGGTCTGGACAACTTTCAGGAGACCATGGGCACCAAACTGGGAGTTAGCATGTTTCCTTCCTGAATACTCCTTGCTGCCTTCACCACATGAGCACTCATTGAAATGGGAGCATAGGAAGAAACTGTTTCTAGGAAAATAATACTTAATCTTAAAATATCATGAGATTGGAATTGACATATACACACTTATATATAGAAAAAGCAAGGGAATCCCAAAATACACCTACTTCTGCTTCATTGACTACACTAAAACCTTTGACTGTGTGAATCACAACAAACTATGGAAAATTCTTCAAGAGACAGAAATACCAGACAACCTGGTATTTCTTCAACAGGTATACCTTACCTGTCTCCTGAGAATCCTGTATGCAGGAAAAGAAGCAACAGTTAGATCCAGACATGAAACAACGGACTGGTTCCAAATTGGGAAAGGAGTACGTCAAGGCTGTGTATTGTCACCCTGATTATTTAACTTTATATGCAGAATACCTCATGCAAAATACTGGGCTGGATGACTCAAGCTGGAATCAAGATCACTGGGAGAAATATCAGTAACCTCAGATGTGCAGATGACACCACTCCAGTGGTGGAAAGTGAAGAGCAACTAAAGAGCCTCTTGATGAAAGTGAAAGAGGAGAGGGAAAAACCTGGTTTAAACTCAGCATTCAAAAAACGAACATCATGGAATACGGTCCCATCACTTCATGGCAAATAGAGGGGGAAAAAGTGGAAGCAGTGACAGACTTTATTTTCTTGGTCTCCAAAATCACTGTGGATGGTGACTGCAGCCATGAAATTAAAAGATACTTGCTCCTGGAAAGGAAAACTATGACCAACCTACACAGTGTAACCTGTGCAGAGACATCACCTTGCTGACAAAGGTCTGTCTAGTCAAAGCTATGTTTTTCCAGTAGTCATGTATGGATATGAGAATTGGACCATAAAGAAGGCTGAGCGCCAAAGAATTCATGCTTTCCAGTTGTGGTGCTAGAGAAGACTCTTCCAAGTCCCTTGGACAACAAGGAGATTGAACCAGTCAATCCTGAAGGAAATCAACCCTGAATATTCATTGGAAGGACTGATGCTGAAGCTCCAATACTTTGGCTACTTGATGTGAAGAGCCGACTCATTGGAAAAGACTCTGAAGCTGGGAAAGATTGAGGGTAGGAGGAGAAGGGGATGACAGAAGATGAACTGGTTGGATGGCATCACTCATTCAATGGACATGAGTTTGAGCAAGCTCTGGGAGATGGTGAAGGACAGGGGAAACCTGGCGTGCTGCAGTTTCTGGGGTTGCGAAGAGCCAGACACGACTGAGTAACTGAACAGCAACAATGATGTATAAAATAGATTAACTAATAAGGACCTACCTCTACTTAATACTTTGTAATGACCTACCTGTATGAGAAGTGAAAGTGATAGTTACTCAGTTGTGTCTGACTCTTTGCGACACAATGGACTATATAGCCTGCCAGGCTCCTCTGTCCATGGAATTTTTCAGGCAAGAATATTGGAGTGGGAGCCATTCCATTTTACAGAGATCTTTCCTACCCAGAGGTCAAAGACCCAAAGTGTCCTGCATTGCAGGCAGATTCTTTACTGTCTGAGCCACAAGGGAAGCTACCTATATGAAAATAGAACCTAAAAAAGAGTGGTATATGTATGTGTGTGTGTGTGTGTGTGTGTGTGTGTGTGTGTGTGTATGTAACTGATTCACTTTGCTGTATAGCAGAAACTGGCCTAACGTTGGCAATCAAATATCTCCAGTAAAATTTAACAAAGAAATTGAAGGAAGTCTTGTAAAACCAAATGCTCTGCTTGTAAATAGGGATTTAGCTTTTTTAGTTTAGTGTTGCTGTATTGTTTTCATTTAAATTTGTCTCTATATATTTTCATATATTCTAGAGGAAACAATTTTTTTTAGTGGATATTGTTTAAAAAAACACATGTGCTTTAAATTTGTTAAGAAGTTGAAAGTCAATAAACAAAATCATCCAGTCCCATTCTGGACCCAGCTGGGGTCTGTAAGTGTCTGGTCAGGGTACAATGAGGAAGACACAGCCCCTGGGTCACTCTAGTCAGCAGTGGGTCAGATGTGCTCATTATAGCAGAGATTGAAAGTGAAAGTGAAGTCGCTCAGTCGTGTCCGACTCTCCGCAACCCCATGGACTATAGCCTACCAGGATCCTCCATCCATGGGATTTTCCAGGCAAGAGTACTGGAGTAGGTTGCCATTTCCTTCTCCAAGGGATCCTCCCGACCCAGGGATCGAACCTGGGTCTCCCGAATTGTAGGGAGATGCTTTACTATCTGAGCCAGCAGAGACTGGATGATAATAAAAATGAAGTGCTTAACTATTTACAATAGCAAGAATATGGAAACAACTTAGATGTCCATTGACAGATGAATGGATAAAGAAGTTGTGGTACATATACACAATGGAATATTACTCAGTCATAAAAAGGAACACATTTGAGTCAGTTCTAATGAAGTGGATGAACCTAGAGTCTATTATACAGAGTGAAGTAAGTCAGAAAGAGAAAGATAAATATCATATACTAATGCATATATATGGAATCTAGAAAGATGGTACCAAAGAATTTATTTGCAGGGCAGCAGTAGAGAAACAGACATAGAGAACAGATTATGGACCCAGGGAGAGGGGAGGAGAGGGTGAGATGTATGGACAGAGTAACATGGAAACTTTCCATATGTAAAAGAGATAGTCAACGGGAGTTTGCTCTGTGTCTCAGGGAACTCAAACGGGCTCTGTATCAACCTAGAGGGGTGGGATGAGGAGGGAGATGGAGGGAGGTCCAAGAGGAAGGGGAGATATGTATACCTATGGCTGATTGATGTTGAGCTTTGACAGAAAACAACAAAATTCTGTAAAGCAATTATCCTCCAGTTTAAAAATAAATTAAAAAATTGAAGTATTTAATGGAAAAAAATGTCAGTAGAGTGAGATTTATTATATGATATTGTTCAGGTAAAGTAAAAATACCTGGACTTTAAAGCGGCATATGTTCTACAGAACATGTTCAAATTAAAAGGCACTCGAGGCAATAGAGGAGTTTCCTGTGGGGTTGTTGGGAGAGTAAGGTGAAGGTGAGTGATGACTCACAGGATGGGGGTGGGGAGGGGCCCGACTGGGTGAGCCGTGTTCGAAGCAAGGGCTGTGTCAAGCCCAGGGCCAGACAAGACTCCCTGACCTTAGGCTCATCTTCTGTGGGTGGTGGGCTAACGTTCTCCCATAGGGCTTCAGGGAGGCTTAATGTACGTGTCAGACATTCAGAAGGGCTGGCCCTTTGACAGCTGAGGAAGTACTTGGTGCAGTGCTCGGCGTGTGATGGCAGGCTGCCTTCTGACTCCCAGCAGCCTCCTTACTTGGCTGGCTTGTTTGGTGTGAGTGATGGTGGGGTAACGAGGGACAGGGAGGGGATGCCAGGAGGGCTTGCAGAACACTTGAAGCTCTCTGTTGAAGGCAGTTCACTTGAAGAACAAGATACTAGTGGACACTGTAACGTGTTTCTGGTCAAAAACACACAGAATCCACCCGAGTGCTTGAGTTGTCCAGGAAATCAGCTGGTGTGCTTAGATGAGAAGCGTTTCCCTGCGGACATGTTTCCTGCCTTGTTCCTGGGTAGGTTAGTTCCTTTTTAGGCTGTTCTTCTTTATGATAATTTATCAGAACCCGAGTCCTGGCCTAGGCATGCCCTGTGGGCTGCGAGGGTTGGTTTCTGTGGGTCCTCACACCAAGACTCCATAGCTCAAATCTGCACAGTCACGTGGGCATCCAGTGAAATGCACATCGGATTCTGTCAGTCCGGGGTGTGGCCTCAGAGTCTACAGTTCTAACATGCTCCCCTGAGATGCTGATCTCAGATTTTGGATATTGAAGTGTTTACATACTGTTGGACTCAGCCTTCCTGAGGTGTAGTTCTCTGAGCTCTGGACCAGCTTGTCGTTGTAGAACCAGCACCACGATCACAGCGTGGACCATCTTCACCCCCACAGGATTCTCTCATCCAACTCTGGTCAGTCCTCCCAAAGCCCCTCCCATGGCGGCAATCTGACGCTTCCTGTAACAGTGTCTTTTCCAGGTGTCATGTGACCGGAACCATTCCGCATGGAGCCTTTGGAGCCTGGCTTCTGTCGCTTAGCTCTATGCCTGTGAGACCCACCCAGACTCCTGTCTGTCAGCAGTTTGCTCCTCCTTACTGCTGCATAGCGCTGACTTGTGTGGACACCTCATCCTTTCTTTATTCAGTCACCAGTAGAAGGACATAAGTGTTTCCAGGTTTTCCATTATGAATGAACTTCTAATTAAAAATTTTTGAGAACTTTAGAAGAAATGTAATTCTATTTTTCTATTGTTATTTTAGGTGACATCACTCAAAAAGGATATGAAAAGAAAAGGGCAAAGCTGCTTGCACGCTGTGTACCCCTCATTCAAGGTGAGGTTAACACAGGTCTTATGAAACTGATTTAAAAATTGATATTAGAGTTTGACTTTGGTAGTTTCATATTTTATTAATAAGGGCTGGGAAAATAATGTGTCTAATATTAAATTATAAAGTCCAAAGTCATAGATTAAAGTTTATGTCTCTGGTTTGGTATAGATTTCATCCCCAAATAGGATTTATGTTATTTTCATTATAGTAGACCATGATTATTTTTATGATTTTAGTAAAGAACATTTCCTAACTTATGTTTGGAACATATATTATAAAGATGTGAGTTCTCCCACCTTATATTGATCTTCAGAGTCAGCACCTTCAATGTTTCAGCACAGTTTTTGGGGGTGGAATTTAAGAAGCTGATTTTAAAATTTATATAGAAGTTTGAGACTTCCCTGGCAGTCTAGTGGTTAAGACTCCATGCTTCCACTCCAGGGGGCGCAGGTTCCATCCCTGGTCAGGGAATTAAGAGCCCCACGTGGCTTGTGCAGCAAGGCAAAAAAAAAGAAGTTAAAAAATATATATATGTAAGTTTAAAGGGCTAAGGGATTCAAAATAATGATAAAAAAGAAGAATAAGGTTGGAGGATTTGCTGGTTATGATGTGAGGAGTTAATAGCACTCTGTCATTAAGACAGCCTTGTTTTGCCCAAGGGTGGATAGCTCGATTCACAAACAGAACGTGGACCCAGACAGACATGTATGGCTGTGGGGACCAGGCTTATGGTGGGGGTGGTGTTGCAGCTCATGATGCCGGCACAGTTCCTTAAGACCAGAAGCCAGATATGAAGGGCTTTAGTGAGAAAGGCAAAACTTATAGCACCTTTGGAAGATTGTATATGAAAACTCACCATCTCTAGACAGGAGGAAGGATTTCTCAAGTCCCTGGAGGTACCAAAAACGAGCAACTGAAAAGGAAAAGGTTGGTAAATTAGAGTGTGTTAAAATTAAGAATCATGTTTTATCAGAAGTTCCCATAAAGAGATTATAGACAAGCCGCAGTATAGGAGAAGATGGTCGTAACCTACATGAGAGGAAAAGGGCTGGAGTCCCGAGCCGGCGAAGCAGCAGCATCCAGGAGACCTTTTGCCAGAGCGGGAATGGTCTGCAGCCCCATTGTCCAGTCCACTGAGCACTTACACGTGTGGCTTCTGAGCACTTGAGGTGTGGTAGCGTGACTAAGACACTGCATTTTTTAAATTTAATTTTAATTATTTTAAACTTTATAAAGAGCCAGAAAGTTTCCCAGTGTGATTTTTTTTTTTTAAAAGCCCAGTAGGAAAATGGCCTAAAGACTTGCATAAATATTCTACCAGAGGAAACCCTAATTGTTAGCAGGCAAACGAGAAGCCCGCTGGGCTGCTCCCAAGGCCCTCTGTGGCAGGCCAGTGCCCAGGCAGCACCGCGGACAAACAGCAGGCCTCCACCCTCGCACAGGTGCTATTGTTTTCTACTTTGAAATCTAGGTGTCTGCTTACTTGGCTATTAGAATTAGTAAACGTCTTGGTTTGTACAGAAGACAAATATCAATAGCTTTTCTCTGGCAATATTTCTGTTAATAAAATAGCTCACATTCATTATGGCAAAAAAACCTGTCAAATATTTTTAATACATTTAGCAAGAAAGCCACAGGACCTATATTAGCATCATACAATCTATTTGAAAGAAGTAACCAGGATCCTAAAATATGAAGAAATATACCAGTATCTTAGATGCAAAAATTTAATATTATGAAAGTAGTAGTTTCTAAATTAATATGTGACAAAATGTAATCCAGTCTGAATAGCAGTGGTTGATTTTTTTTCCCCCGCAAACCTGGCATTGGAAATAACTCACTTGGAGGAGAAAAGTTCTGAGAGTAGCTAGTATACTGTTGAGGAGGAATACCAGGGAGAAAGGCTTGGCCTTCAGGGTGTTAAACTTTCGTCACGTGCACTTGGTAGTCCCAACCACAGGGTGTTGGTAGATGCGTGGACAGCTGAACAGTGTAAGGGGAGGCCGTCTAGAAACGATCCAGAATTCAAAGGAGGGAAGATTTATCTAGTAACTGGTGCCGTGCCTGTGGAGGCCACAGTGGGACCCCCTTTCCTCTACAGCATCAGTGGACGTAAACTTCAGGAGTGAACTCTAAGTATGTTTGTAATTACAAAATACTATAAGATTCAGGAGAATATCGAATAATGTTTGAGTAATGACATGATGAGAGACCTGGGGGGCGGCGGGGAAAGAGGTTATGATTGTCTCTCTAGAAATGAAGCACTGCAGAGTGACTGAGCTGCAGCCAGCTGGCCATGGCCTGGGGGCATGTCAGCATAGGGTGGAGCCTCTAGCTGACCAGGGCTCCCTGCAGGTCCTTTGGGGGCTCCTTGCATGCATGCATGCTCAGTTGCTCAGTCATGTCTGACTTTTTCCAACTGTAGTATGCCAGGCTCCTCTGTCCATGAGATTTTCTAGGCAAGAATACTGGAGTGGGTTGACATTTTGTTCACCAGTGGATCTTCCTGACCCAGGGATTGAACCCACATCTCCTGCATTACAGGCAGGTTCTTTACCACTGAGCCACCTGGGAAGCCCTTTGGGGGCGCCTTAGTTGGATAGAATTAATAGAATTCAAAGAATAGGACGTACGGATGGGCAGTAAACATTCAAGTATGTTCAACCCGTAGATACAGGAATGCAAATTAGTGAACTATTCTCCTGTCAGATTGGCAAGATTCTAAAATTTGTAACATCCAGTGCTGACAGAGACATGGGGAAATGGCACCCTGTGGGAATGCGATTTGCTGTGGCCTGAGAAGTTCTCTCTTGATACCTGTTAAGACTAAAAATATACCTACTCTTTCATCCAGTGGTTTCCCATTGGGCTTTATATCTTTCTTAAATTAATCAATCTCAATAAAAGCACTGTATTTTGGGATAAAAATGCAAGGATGTCCCTATATTTACACATCACTTTGCAAGTATACCTGTTTATAGTCCGTAATGCATACGATTCTGTGTTCTCCATTATGGATTTTAGGGAAATTTGTTCCAGTCAGTCCAAGAAAAAAAAAGCCAGAAGCAGTGCTGATCAGTATTGCTTCATGTTGCATACATGTATGTGTGTATATGTTCAGTTTTGAAATGCTAACTAGCACTCCAAACCTGGTACATAAACATCAGCAACAGCAGCATTCTGCGCCCACACCTGGAGGTCGGCCGGTCTTGGGGGCAGCTCCTTCCTGTCTGCAGAGCCAGAGCTGGTGTCCCAGGGGCTCCTCAGTCACAGAGGTGCCTGGAGGCTCAGGTAGCGGAGTGAGGGCCCCACGTCTCCTTTCCCCTCTGTCCTCTCTGGGTGTCATCCTAGAGAGCTGGGGTCAGGTGGCCTTTTCATGAGCAGCGTCGGAGGTCATGACCCCCTGAAGCCCAGGTGGGGCAGTTCAGATCAGGTCAGTCACTCAGTCGTGCTCAACTCTTTGCGATCCCATGGACTGCAGCACCCCAGGCTTCCCATCCATCACCAGTTCCCAGAGCTTGCTCAAACTCATGGCCATCAAGTCAGGGATGCCATCCAACCATCTTGTCCTCTGTTGTCCCCTTCTCCTGCCTTCAGTCTTTGCCAGCATCAGGGTCTCTTCTGATGAGTTGGCTGTTTGCATTAGGTGGCCAAAATATTGGAGCTTCAGCTTGAGCATCAGTCCTTCCAATGAATATTCAGGACTATTTCCTTTAGGATTGACTGGTTGGATCTCCTTGCAGTCCAAAGAATTCTCAAAACTCTTCTCCATACCACAGTTCAAAAGCATCAATTCTTTGGTGCTCAGCTTTCTTTATGGTCCAACTGTCACATCTATACATAAATACTGGAAAAACTGTAGCTTTGACTAGACAGAACTTTGTCAGCAAAGTAAAGTCTCTGCCTTTTAACATGCTGTCTAGGTTGTTCATAGCTTTTCTTCCAAGGAGGAAGCATCTTTTAATTTTAGGGCTGCAGTCACCATCTGCAGTGATTTTGGAGCCCAACAAAATAAAGTCTGTCACTGTTTCCATTGTTTCCCCATCTATTTGCCATGAAGTGATAGGATCAGATGCCATGATCTTCGTTTGTTGGATATTGAGTTTTAAGCCAGGTTTTTCACTCTCCTCTTTCACTTTCATCAAGAGGCTCTTTAGTTCTTCTCTTTCTGCTATAAGGGTGGTGTCATCTGCATATCTGAGGTTACTGATATTTCTGCTGGCAGTCTTGATTCTAGCTTTGCTTCATCCAGCCCAGCATTTTGCATGATGTACTCTGCACATAAGTTAAATAAGCAGGTGACAGTATACAGCCTTGACATACTCCTTTCCTGATTTGGAACCAGTCTGTTGTTCCATGTCCAGTTCTGTTGCTTCTTGACCTGCATACCAACTTCTCAGGAGGCAGGGAAGGTGATCTGGTATTCCCATCTCTTGAAGAATTTTCCACAGTTTGTTGTGACCCACACAGTCAAAAGCTTTGTTATAGTCAATAAAGCAGAAATAGATGTTTTTCTGGGATTCGCTTGCTTTTATGATGATCCACCAGATGTTGGCAAGTTGATCTCTGGTCCCTCTGCCTTTTCTAAATCCAGCTTGAACATCTGGAAGTTCTCAGCTCACCTATTGTTGAAGCCTTGGAATTTTGAGCATTACTTAGCTAGTGTGTGAGATGAGTGTGATTGTACATTAGTTTGAACATTCTTTGGCATTGCTGTTCTTTGGGATTGGAATGAAAACTGATCTTTTCCAGTCCTGTGGCGGCCAATGCTGAGGTGGGGACAGGCTGCTGCTTTTCAGGGGGTTCTAAGTGCTGGTGGCTAAAGCTATTTTTCTGGGACATCTTGAAACAATCTAGTGCTCAGGCACTGTTAAATGACCCTGCAGGCTCGTGCTTGTCCTTTACTCAACACATGACGTCCCGATGGCCTGGGTGTTGGCTGGCCATGGGTGTTTTAGTCATGGGGCTGCAACAGGCACAGAGAGCTGGCCGCCCATCAGCTTGGAGACACAGATGTCACAGGCCCAGGTGGTTAGTACCCGAAGTCTCCGAGCCTCTCATTGGCTTTCCTCCAGTGTCTGAGGGCGGCTGTCAACACCTGGGTGATGGGTTCGTGGGCTGCTTCCTGCTGGGCTTGCTGACCCCAGGGCCAGTGCGGGGGAAGGGAGGGGGTTTCGAGAAAGCTGGCCCTAGAGAGCTGGCCTCATGCACTATGTGCATCAAGCTGGGGGCCCAGAGCTGCTGACATCGATGTCTCAGCCCCGACCTCCAGATTTAGGGTCTTCTGGGCTCTGGGGCCCCGGCATGCGTGGTTGTGCAGCAGTGTGTGAGAGGTGTGTGCTATTCTGCATGGGTTTTTTCTGTTGTTGGAAAAGCAGGTTGTTTACTGAAGGTGTTTCTGTGAAATTGTTTCAGGAGTAGACCCCTCCCTGCAAGTGGAGAATCGCATCCTCGGGCCCGCACAAGCCTCAGCCCCCGCGCCCAAGCAGCCCAAGCCACGGCCCAGCAACGCCCGGGATGAGCGCTTCCGGTCAGGTAGGGCTCTGAGTGCTGCGGTCCTCTGCTCGGACACCACAGCTCCGCTGCGGAGAGGGCCTCCTCTGAACTGTGACTTACCGCATTGTGGTTTTTCAAGAAAGAAACAAAACTTCCATAGATCTAGTACGTTTTAGTGTAGCCTGGAGTGTGAGCATGCTCCTCTCCGCAGTTGTGTATAGACGTCTTAGAAGAAAGCAAAATCTTCCTCACCATTGAAATCATTTCTGTAAATGCCTGTGTCCATTTTTCTGCTGGAACTTTGGGGCTGGTGTTGGTGGATTTGCCCAGTTGGGAACCACTCTACTACTCTACGTGTTTAAGTAGTTTATTTTTCTCTAATTTTGGAGATTTCCTTCTAATTAGATTTCTGCCACTCTGTTAGTGCTTTTATAAATATTTGAATTTGTCTCTGGCATTTTATTTGAATTATCAGGACATCCATTGAAAAAATGCATGCTTCCAATGATCCTTTTACTCATTTATTATTTTTGGCAGAGCTGGGTCCTTGTTGCTGTGCGGGCTTCTCACTGCAGTGGCTTCTCCTTTTGTGGAGCACAGGACTTAGGGTTTGTGGGCTTCAGGAGTTGTGGCTCCCATGCTCCAGAGCACAGGCTAACTAGTTGCGGTGCACAAGTTTAGTTGCTCCGAGGCATGTGGGATCTTCCTGGACCAGGGATGGAACCTGTGTCTCCGGCACTGGCAGGCGGATTCTTTACCAGCAGGCCACCAGAGAAGCCATGTGCTTCCTGTTACAGATTAGGTATCAGTAGCTTTTGAACACTTTTTTGCTTGTTTAACATTTTCACTGTTGTGTGATTAAATATTTCTTTTACATTTAAACTCAGTAAGCTTTTATAAAAGAAAACTTTCAAGATAGATAAAGAAATGGCCGTTTCGTTTTAAGAATATTTTTTTAATAAAAATGAAGTTTTTATTTTTTTTTTTTCCCCAATTATTTTTATTAGTTGGAGGCTAATTACTTTACAACATTGTAGTGGTTTTTGCCATACATTGACATCAGTCAGCCATGGATTTACATGTGTTCCCCATGCTGAACCCCCCTCCCACCTCCCTCCCCATCCCATCCCTCTGGGTCATCCCAGTGCACCCCGAGCACTTGTCTCATGCATCCAACTTGGACTGGCGATCTGTTTCACACTTGATAATATACATGTTTCGATGCTCTTCTCTCAGATCATCCCACCCTCGCCTTCTCCCATAGAGTCCAAAAGTCTGTTCTGTACATCTGTGTCTCTTTTTCTGTCTTGCATATAGGGTTATTGTTACTGTCTTTCTAAATTCCATATATATGTATTAGTATACTGTATTGGTGTTTATCTTTCTGGCTTACTTCACTCTGTATAATGGGCTCCAGTTTTACACATCTCATTAGAACTGATTCAAATGTATTCTTTTTAATGGCTGAGTAATAGTCCCTGGTCTATATGTACCACAGCTTTCTTATCCATTTGTCAGCTAACGGGCATCTAGGTTGCTTCCATGTCCTGGCTATTATATGTTTATAAAAATGAAGATTTAAAATGGTTGGTTAATGTGGGAGTGTGATGATGTGGTTTGAGGAAAATATTGATCAGATAATTTCTTACTGATTTAATATACATTTAAAAAAACTTCCCCACACTGACAATGATTTCTTTTTGTATTACATCAATGATGCCTGTAACATAGAACATTGGAAACGGCCCCATCAGCATTCCACCAGTGGAGCCCTGGGCACAAAATGGACATGTGTCCACGCACCCTGAGTGAGGTCACCAGAGGTCCCCTGCCTGTCCTCACCTCCCGTTCCCTGTCGCCTCTGTTTACGTGTAACTGATGCTGAGGACCTGATTTCTGCCCTTGTGAACTGTATCTGGCTCTTGTTCTTTAGTTTCTGAAAATAAGACCTTCTCCATAAATGTTCTTTGCTCATGTTTTCTCCAAGGCTTGTCTTCTCTGAGTTCTCCTCCAGTGGCTTTTGTAGCAGAAGTTTTTAATTTTCATGAAGTGTGGCTTATCCCTTCCTTTTCTTTCTTGAATAGTGCTTTTGTTCTTGTATCTAAGAAATCTGTGCCAAACCCAAGGTCACAAAGACTCTTACCTGTGTTTTTTTCTAGAAGTTTTGTAGTTTTAGGTTTTTACCTTTAGGTCTGTGGTTTAGATTTTGTCAATTTTAGTGTGAGTTCAGGGTGTGTTACAAAGCTGACTTTCTTACCTGTGGGAATCCCGTTGTCCCCATGCCCTCACTCCTTTGTCTAAATGCAGCTGCTCATGGGTGACTCTTTCTGGACTCCGTTCTGTTCTCTTGATGGGTTCGTCTGTCGTCATGGCAGTGCCAGCTCTCTTAATGATGGCAGCTTAGCAGTCATTGTTCACATGGGTATATCCACTCATTCCTCCAGGTTTATTCCTTATCATTGTTCCCTTGTATACCCTGTGCCTCTCTTCCCTCTGGCACTTTTACAATTTTTCTCATCTCAGGTTTTGAGTGATCTGATTGTTATGTGCTTTGGTATAAGTTTCTTTGTTTCTTGTGCTTGGGGTTTGTTGAGCTTCTTGGATCTGTTGCTTTATATTCTTGTGTTGGTATTGTGTAGGTTTTTAGTTCTTGATTGTTATCTGTACTTAGGTTGTTTGTTTGTTTCTAAGGCAGCCACAGTGTAAAAAGTCTGTGCTCACAGTCGAGCCAAATCTCTTGCAGGGACTCCTAGGTTTGTCTCTCTCCTGAACACAGTCTTTCATGGGTGTTTCAGTTGTATGTCTGGGAGTATTTTTATTAGACCCTGAAGTTTAAATGGTACTTTGGCTGGATATAAAATGACAGGTTCAAAACTTGTTTCTTCAGCTGTGTTGCCTTGTATTTGGTGATTACCATTGGTAAATTTAGCCTGTTTCTTGATCCATCAAGACTGTTTCTCTAGAAGCTTTTAGGATTGACTGGTTATCTTTGATGTTGGTAAAATTTTATTGTAATATGTTTAGATGTAAATTTTTCATCCTTAGTACCCTATGAACCATTTTACTATAAGGTTTCTAAATGCTATTTAAAACATCTTGTTGGGGAAAAATGTGAACATATATAAAGGTGGCCTTGGTGGTGTACTGAGCCCTGGACTTGCCCAGTGCCACGATTGCCACCATGCTCAGGCCCAGTCTTGGCTTCTTCATCAGCTCCTGCTGCTTCTTCCCTTCCTGTGTGACTCTGAAGCAAATCTCAGAGATCATGTCATTTTACCTAGATGTCCTAATACTCTTGGTTTCTATATCTGAAAAGAGTGTGTGTATCTCCATGGATAGCTCCATTATCACAGAATAATTAGCAGTAATTCCTTAGTATCAAATACCCATGTCTTCAAACTTTATAAAACAGTTTGCACCCACGATCCAGATAAGATGTACATGTCACAGATATTCCGCTGGTGATAACTTGGTCTGGGGCCTTGGCTGTGGCCTGGCTGCTCCTGGCTCCCTGGCTCTAGCAGGTCACTTCGGGACCAGTGTTTTCCCACCACAGGCACTGCAGACCTGTGTCTCTCCCCTCCCTGGGATGTTGGCAGGGTTGATCCCTTGGTTCATTTAGGGTGGATTTGGTGGCAGAACGGCTGGACCAGTTCTGTGAAGAGCAAGCAGCTTGTTCTCATCACACAGCACAGGAGAGCCGGGAGAGATGCTCGGCTCTTCCCATCCAGTTAATGTTTTCAAAACAGTAGCTTGTGCCACTGGCATCCTCCAATGGCAGCCAGTTAGTTTTACTTCCTCTTTTTCTTCCTTTCTTTTCTCTGATCTTGTTTTTGTCCTTGGTGGTATTCAGACTGCCCCAACCTTTTTCTTTGGGGGTGCTTCTCTGTCGGCTCCAGCATTGGGTTGCTGGCCAGGAACTTGTTGGTTGGTAGGATGAGATTCTCCAGAACCCTCTGCCACTTCCTGCACCCTGGAACCCACATTTCTCGGGGTTCTTGCAGTGAGGACAGTGTTATAAGACTGCAGCCTGGATGGTAGGAGTGCTCATTGCACTCGGGCTGGTCATCATTTCTAGATATTTTTAGAGACTGAAGTAAGACATGCTATTTAAAGATAAAATGCCACATGTGTTCATGCAGATAATTTCCATTCAGATTCAGGACTGCAGTGTTCCCCTCACTCTGGAGTCTCTGTGTGTATCCCTTCTCTCCCTGTTAGCGTCTTGGTTTCTAGGGAGGAATGATGGGGTGAGGCCATCAGCCCGTCTTCGTTGGCTCTCTTGCACTTGACCACAAGTGTGGCGGTGTGACGGGACCCCTACCACCCCCCGGCCATGCGACTACAGGAAGAGCTTGGTTCCTTGCATGGCTCTGCCCATCCTGGGGCTTGACCGGGATGGCAGCTCAGACAATATGACCACAGAGCTTTAGTGCTGCTTGTAGTGGTTTATACCATAATCAGAGTGCATTAGGTTCATCTGTTTCATTTTATTTTCAGTTTTGGGGATTTCCTGGTTTAAATCTGAAAATACTTGCGAAGTCGAATCTATAAACCAAGGAATATTTGTAGAAATCTAGGACCAGTGTGTGGACCCACATGTAGGCTGACCTTGTGTTCCTTTTATACTCAATGAAACCAGATTAAAAACATGAACCTTCATCAGGAATCTTGTAACAGGTGCTTTTGCTGCTGTTGTTTCTGTGCAGATGTTCACACTGAGGCCGTGCAGGCAGCTTTGGCCAAATACAAAGAGAGGAAGATGCCCATGCCATCCAAGAGGCGCTCTGTCCTCACGCATGCATCTGTGGAGGCCTACACACCCCCAGGTACTGATTAGGGTTGGGACGGCCTGGGCAGGGTTGGGGCGGCTTGGGCAGGGATTCCCATTGAGATGGAGCAGGCTTCTGATTGAGGTGAGGAGTGTGTGTGTGCTCATGCACGTTTCTGTGCATGCAGTGAGCTTGCTTCCAATAGCTTGTCTATATAGATTTTAATTTTTTCACTAAGATGTAATTTGTGTCTTTTAGTAAAGAGAGGAACCAGCAGTAAGTGCTTTATGGGGTGACAGAGTTCCATGAATTCAGAAATTTAAAATTATTCTCCTTGAGTTGGTCAAAAAGTTCCTTGAGTTGTTTTTTAAGAAAAAAGACACATTTCTCACTTTCATCAAGAACTTTATTGAACAATGTAGTCACCATTTTGTTCCACTACCTTCTGTTATTTTTCAGACAGTTTCATATTTCCATTCCCCAAACTTGTTATCTTTTTGATCAAAGAACTGTTCCAGGTGCCTTTTATACAGTCTTCCAGGGAACTGAAAATTTTTTCATTAAGAGAATTTTGTAAAGCCCAAAATAAATGGACATCCAAAGGTGCAATGTCTGGTGAATATGGCAGATAAATCAGAACTTCCCAGCCATACTGTAACAGCTTTTGCCTGGTCATCAAATAAACATACAGTCTTGTGTTATCCAGATGGAAGCTGACGTGTTTTCTCCTAACTAATCCCAGATCTTTTTGTTGAGTGCTGGTTTCACTTGGCCTAATTGGGAGCAGTACTTGTTGCAATTAGTTGTTTGGTTTTTCGGAAGGAGCTCATGATAAAGGACCCCCTTCCACTCCTACCATGTACACAACATCACCTTCTTTGGATGAAGACCAGTCTTTGGTGTAGTTGGTGGTGGTTTATTTCGCTTGCCACGTGATCTCTTCCATTCCCTATTATTGTACAAGATCCACTTTTTATCAGCTGTCACAGTTTATGTTAAAAATGGAATGTTTTCATCGTGTTTAAGTTGAGAATCATACGTGGAAATACAGTCAAGGAGTTTTTTTTGTTTTTGCTTTTTTTCTTAACTAATGTGGAACCCAAAGATCAAACTGATGAATATAACCGAACTGGTGCAAATTATTTTCAGCACTTGATTTGGATATTTTGTGTATGTCAGCTATCTCTCACCTGGTATAACACTGATTGTTCTCAGTTAATGTTTCAGTTTGACCATGATCAACTTCAACTGGTCTACCTGACCATGGAGCATCATCTAGCAAGAAATTTCCCTCATGAAACTTAGCAAACCACGTTTGACATGTCTGATCAGTCACAACACCTTCTGTACACACTGCACAAATCCGTTTTTGCATTTCAGTTGCATTTTTACCTTTCTTGAAATAATAAAGCATAATATGTGAAAATGTTGCTTTTTCCCTTCTATCTTCAATATTAAAGTTGGTACATAAAAATTCACTAGTTTTGATAAGTTGTTTTTTTTTTTTTTAATGAGTGCTGATATGACAGCTGTCACAATACAGCCTAACAAAATTGTCTTGAATGAAGTTGAAGACAGCTAAGCACTACTAGAGCCATCTTACAGAAAAAGCAGCGAACTTTTTGGCCAACCCAATATTATGTGTTATGTTGTTACCAGGTTTTAAATGGGAAAGAATAAGGCCATTTGGAGGGTTTTTGATTTGTTTTGTTTTTGTTATTTCGTTACCATTAGAAATGAAAACTCTTAATGCGGCCTCTCTTCAGGATAGTTAGTGTGTTTTAAGTTTCCTGGAAAGCTCATCCAGGTGCTGGGAGCACAGTACTGCCTGTCTGGTTATTGAAGTCACAAAGCTGGTGACAGGCGTGTTTGGTTTGCCGACGTGGTAAAACATCAGCCACACCAGGTCCACAGGATAGTGCAGTGTTTTGCTGATGCTTCCTGACTTAAAAAAAAGTTTATGTTGTTGAAAAAAAGTCTTAGAAATTTATGCCAAATTATTTTCTACCAAATATAACCATAGATACTACCCAGTTTTTAAAGAACTTCCTAATAATAATGAAACCCATGATAAAATGCAGACTTGACAGAACCAGAATTCAGGTTAATTGTATTGCCCGAGGCGGGGCTCTTTTCAGAGCTCAGGCACATCCTCTAGGGTGCGCAGGTGCTGGGCAAGGCCTTGCTGGGATCAGGCACCCACGGGGCATCGGTCACCTCTGCTATTCGGGGCCCCCAGGGCCCCACGGCATGCACTAAAGTGGTCAGGGTTGGACCAGCTGCATCCCTGGGCATGGCGCCCTGTGACCAAGTTCTTCGGGGGAGCCCGGGGTGCAGCCAGCTTCCAAGCGGCCCTGGGTCTCACTCACGGTCAGTCACACGCAGGCCTTCCTGGACGTGCGGGTGCGCAGGGCGCAGGCCGGGCCGGTATGGGAACCCCGCCCCCAAGGATGCCCCCCTCATGCCTGTCGTCGTTATTTTGACCACAGACACGTCATCTGCCTCAGAAGATGAGGGCTCTTTACAGCGCCCCGGGCGACTGGCCTCCGCTCCGCTGCAGAGCCGCCCCAGCGTCGAGCCCTGGCCCGAGCCGGCCATTCAGGGCTCGTCCACCTCCTCCTCCGCGTCCTCCACCTCATCTCACCCGGGAGGGCAGCCTGCCGCCACGCCCAGTGCTGCCGCTGCACTTGCCGGCCCCGTGGCCCTCACCCGCGTAGGTCAGTACAGCCGTGGGGACCCCTCCAGGCAGAGGAGCCCCCGCCCCTCCTCAGACCCACCTTCTCCTCTTTGTGTGGAAAGTGTCCTTTTGGTAACACAAGTGGTTTCTGGTGCCTCTGTGGTTTGGCAGCCCCAGACCCTGGGTGGGCCTCCCCTGGAGACCTGGACAAGAGCTGGTGCTTCTGCTCTGGCCGGGCGGCCGGCACAGGTGGACAGTCCCTGGCCATCAGGAGGCCTGCCACCTGCAACACGGCCTTTTGTTCCTCCCTTCTGTGCACAGCCGCAGCCCTCAGTTGTCCCTGCGCTGGGTGTCCCAAGGTGGGGCTGGGGCTGCAGCCGTGGAGAGCCTTTCTTCCTCTGCACACAGGGTTAGACAGTCCTCAGTCTGAAAAGAGGTGTAAGTCACAGCTCAGTCATAAAGATGCCGAGACCTTTTCCAAGTCACCCAGTCCTTTAAATTATATTAATCTTAGAGAGGAAAACATTGCTAAGCTTTCACCATTTGAAGTCATATTTTTTGATGCAAAAGTCGTAACTTAGCTGGCATGCAGAGTGCACATGCATTCTTGCAGGAGTGCCTTAAGAAGTACTCCTGGGGTGGTGCATTGCTGTTGTTGGGGGTCATCTGACGAGGAGGAAGAGCTCAGTCGGGGACTGCCCTGGCTGAGACCACACAGCTGGCTGTGGTGGAGCCAGGCTGACCCATAGCTTTCTGATTCCTGTTCCTTTTCTTTGCTGTTGCTGTTCTGTTAAAACCAGAACAGTGCATCTGTGGTGCGCCCATGACAGGCCAGTGTTTCTGATGGCGTCCCAGCAGGTTAAGTGCCCCTCAGGCATGTGCTGGTCTCAGGCTCTGAGCTGCTTCCATGCAAGATACTGGTCATTTGGCTGGACTGGGTGTTGTAAGTGACTGACGCCTTCATTTCCTCTGTGGGCACATCACTGATGCTCTTCGTTTGTTACTGGTTTGAGTCAGTGCCAATGTCTGTACATTTTTGTTGAGCTCGTGATGTCTTCTTAGGTGAGAACTCACGATGCCTTGACCTGCTTCCAGCATGTGGAGGAGCCAGGGTCGCGCTGTCAGGGCCGTCCTGGGCGGTTTGCTTTAGGAGAGAAGGCTCCTCTGGAAGTACCCGCCAGGATTGTTGTGGTCAGTCTCCTGGGGAGCCTACAAATGGCTGGTGATTACAGCCCACCTGTCCTCAAGGAGTTTCACAGGGGAGAGCTTGAAAACAGCATTAGGTGGACACATTCTTGCTGTTTGTCATGGCGATTACACTCTTTGGAAATGCACAAGTACCTCCACTGTGAGGCAAGCGGCAGCATTCGGTGTTCTCTTCCCTTCTCGCTTGGTCCAGCTTTCCGAAGCTCTGTCCCGGGTCCCACAGTGTGAAGAGTAGGGCAGAGCAGTCACTGTTTGCTTGTATCAGCCACTGCTGAGCTGTTGTAAACACTGCTTCCTGGTGGGTTAGAAAGAGAGGCATATTTAGCTTGAAAAACTGACTGTAGTTTAAAATGTCTAACCAGACAGCCCTTGACTTCACAGAGTTGTAAGGTGAGGCTGAGTGGGCCTCTCTTTTCTCAGAAAGGTCCTGGCTGTAAAGACTTCAGGGTGGGTTGTCGCCTCTGTGGCCGAGGGGCTCCTGACTCCTGCAGGTGAGGCGGAGCCCCTCTCCCCTCCTTCCTGCTCACCTGTGCTCACATGCATGTTATGTGGTTAGTTCTAGTAGTCTGAAAGTCTGACTTGCTCTGTACTTATACCTCACTGTTGTCTGTAGCTCTCATGCCCTACTTGTGTGACCTGAATTTTAAATCTGAAAAATATCCCACTTCCCTCTCCTTGTTATAAAAGTCATCCTTTTTTTAGTTTCTCACACTAGGAGAATTCTTCAATTTGGGCTAAGGAAAGAAATATAGAAAGAAGGTGGCTATAAAAAAATTATAGGTAGAAAATGTTAAAAAATATTTGTTGGTTTCAGTTTGGGGCTAGGAAAATCAAGTGCATAAAACATTTGGACACAAGTACCTGTATTTAAAAGCAGTACATTTAATTACAGTAGTTCATTTTGTAGTGTAGTTTGTTTATTTTTATGCAGCTATTTAAAAAGTTACTTTGTAGTTGAGAATTACCATTTATACCTTTTTTCATGAATATAGTTAAAATCTCTCATTTTTGCTAGATTGGAAAGGTGGGGAGATTTGTTTTTAAACTGAAAGAATTCTGTCGTAAGCATACTCTAAAATGCTGATTTCATAATATCTAGCTTTCTCAAGGATTGTGAAAACTCTTGTCATTTAAGTTAGGTTTTTCTAAATGGTGTTTTCTGCTATGTAAGTTTGTGTAGTAAGTCTGTGTTTTGTTTCCATATAAATTCATCTTTCTACATATTTAAAAAAATTTTAGATTGCGTACTCTCTAGGTTATGATGATAGATAAAAAATAAGTATCAAAATCTGTGATGGTGGGAACATTCATTTGAAGACTAAAGAGATTACAGAGCAGTATCCATTCTCGAGAGTGGACGAGTGTCACGCTAGGTCTAAACTCGGTTCTTTCCTGGTGGAAGACTGAGTTTTAGCAGTGATGCTCCAGCGGCAGTCAACCAGTGTCAGAACAGATAAACATGCCATACGGTGAAAATGGAGCCCAGAATGGACATTCAGACTACGGAAGGAGTGGTTTAAATACTTTTTGTATCTAACATAGTTTGCCTTTAAATGCGAGGTGAGTACATTCTGTCTTAAGAGCCTGATTGTAGCCCCTTAGTAATGGGACATGTTGAACTAACTCTAGGGATAGTTTTTAATCTGTGTAGGCTTATTCTGTGAAGATTGCAAAGGTTTGTGTCTGCGTGGCATTCAACTTGCTTTTTAGGGGAGTAGAGGTAGTTTATAGAAGCCTGGCAGTTTTTTCATAATATGACAAAAAATATTATTGATTTAAAATATATTTCTGCTTCATTAAGGGAGATTTCTTAGTAAAATAGTTTTTTCATAATATGACAAAAATATTATTGATTTAAAATATATTTCTGCTTCATTGAGGGAGATTTCTAAGTAAAATCTAAGTTCTAAGTAAAACCTCCTTAGGCCAAACTGGGAAAAGTGTATTCCTCACGGCCATTCTGTGCTGTGGTTGGTGTTTCTGGCCTAGTTCCCTCTGAGAACTGGATGGCCATGTGCACGCAGAACTGTCCAGGCCATGTCCAGAGTTCAGAGTTCACAGCATCTAGTGTGCTCAGTCAGCCAGGCAGACAGAGTCGATCGGAATGCCACATTCCTTGCTTAGAGCTCAGCTACTGAAGCTTTAGTCGAATGGAGTTTGAACAGCAACTTGATGTTCATGTTCTTTTGAATTAACAGCCACTTTTATTTTGGGTTTGTGTTTCAAAAGCAGATCTGCACTCTGCCCCTCCTGATGTCACCACGGGCCTCGTGCAGCATCAGCACGCATACTGCGAGCGTCCGCAGATGACCTCTGTGAGAGGAGTCCCTCGGGGCTGCCGCGGGAGTGTCCTAGAGACGGCAGGTGGTAAGCATGCCTCTCTTCCTGCTTGAGACAGCAGAGCCCAGGCCCTGGATCTCAGGGTGCCTGGTGAGCCAGCCGTCAGGTGCAGTCCTGGTGCATTTAGACTGCCCGTGTGTGTATCATGTGGAGAAGTGATCAGGAATAGGTCAAGTCGGGAATGAGGAGAAGGAGGGAGGAGAAAGCCTTCACACTGAAGTGGATGCACAGGCTTTGGATCTGTGGTATTGTGGGAAGAGGAGAAGCTGGGGAAGTTCCTCCAGCACTGCAAGTGCAGCCAGCGATAGCTGCCCCAGTCAGTCCCTTCTGCGCTTGTACTGTTTCCTTTTGAAACAGTTGCCGGTGGCTTTTATCAAAATCACATGAAGTTTTTCTTGCAATGTGCCAAATTTGAGTTGCAGAAAAATCCAGCAGTTCTTAGATCTGAGACCTTAACATGTTTCTAGGCTCCTGAGCAGCTGGTCTGATTTTGTTGGTCTTTCAGTTCCTTGTTCAGATATAAGAGGAGAAATGGAGTCAACGTGAAGCAGTCTTCTTGTTGGTTAGATAGATTAAAAAAAAAATTAGCTTGTTATTCTTTATATTTAAAAATTTTTAAGAACTTAGTTGAGGTGTAAATGACGTATCTACTGTGTGTATTAAAGTGTATAATTTTATAAGCTTTTAAAAAACTTTTTGTTTATTTGACTGCACCAGGCCTTAGTTGCATCGTGTGAAATCTTCAGTCTTTGTTGCGGCATGTGGGATCTGGTTCCCTGACAGGGATTGAACCTGGGTTCCTTGCATTGGAGCGTGGAATCTTGGCCACTGGACCACCAGGGAAAGCTTGACAGTTTTATAAGCTTTAAGATACATGTACTCTGTGAAATCCATACTGTAGCCAGTATACCTGGTGCTCCTGAAATCTTCCTTCCTTGTGCGCTTTTGTTACAGCTGCTTGCTGCCTTTTTTGGCTTCCCTTCAGGCAACCACTGATTTACTTCCTGACACTGTAAAGTAGCTTGCATTTTCTAGGATTTTATATAAATAGAATCACTCAGCATTTACTTTTTATTGTCTGTCTTCTGCTACCCTGCACAGTTATTTTGAAGTTCATCCATGTTCTTGCTTGTATCGTAGGTCATTCCTTTTCTTGGGAGATGAAATATCCCTGCATTTCATCTTATCAGTTCAGTTCAGTCACTCAGTTGTGTCCGAGTCTTTGGGACCGCATGGACTGCAGCACGACAGGCTTCCCTGTCCATCCCAACTCCCGGAGCTTGCTCAAATTCATGTCAATCGAGTCAGTGATGCCATCCAGCCATCTCATCCTCTGTGGTCCGTTTCTCCTCCTGCTTTCAGTCTTGCCTATCATCAGGGTCTTTTCCAGTGAGTCAGCTCTTCACATCAGCTGGCCAAAGTGTTGGAGCTTCAGCTTCAGCATCAGTCCTTCCAATGAATATTCAGGACTGATTTCCTTTAGGATGGACTGGTTGGATCTCCTTGCAGTCCAATGGACTCTTGAGAGTCTTCTCCAACACCACAGTTCAAAAGCATCAGTCCTTCCAATGAATATTCAGGACTGATTTCCTTTAGGATGGACTGGTTGGATCTCCTTGCAGTCCAAGGAACTCTCAAGAGTCTTCTCCAACTCCACAGTTCAAAAGCATCAGTTCTTCGGTGCTCAGCTTTTGTTGTGGGCCAAGTCTCACATCCTATAGATGTGAGATTTCATCCTATAGATGCACCATAGTTTTATCTTTTTACCTACTGACGGGTATTTTGGGTGTTTCCAGTTTTTGGCTGTTAGAAATAAAGTTACTGTGACTATTCCTTTACAAGTCTTTCTGTGGATATACACGTTCATTTGTTTTGGGTCAGTATCTAGGAGTAGAATAGCTGGATCATACAGTGGGTTTGAAAGAGAGAAAGTAAAGTCGCTCAGTCGTGTCTGACTCTTTGCGACCCCATGGACTATAGCCTACCAGGCTCCTCAGTCCATGAAATTTTCCAGGCAAGAGTACTGGAATGGGTTGCCATTTCCTTCTCCAGGGGACCTTCCCAACCCAGGGATCGAACCAGGGTCTTCCACACTGCAGGCAGACACTTTATCATCTGAGCCATCAGGGAACGTTTTAGTTGTTAAAGGAATTGCCAAACTGGGACTTCCCTAGTGGCCCAGTGGTTAAGAATCTGCCTTGTAGTGCAGGGGACGTGGGTTCAGTCCCTGGTCAGGAAACTCAGATCCCACATGCTGCAACTACTGAGCCCAAACACTGCAGCCACAACTACTGAGCCCAAGCACTGAGGCCACAACTAGAGAAACCATGCACTGCAATAAAAGATCCCCATGATGCAGCTAAGACCCCACACAGCCAAATAAATAACTAACTATAAATTAACATTAAAAAAAAAAAACTGCCAAACTTATTTCCAAGTGATTTCACCTCCCTGGTACTGGTGATGAGAGTCCCAGTTCCCCCACATCCTTGCCAAGAATCGGTATCGTTGGTTTTCACATGCTGACCATCCTTGTAGTTGTGCAGAGGTGTCCCCTTATAGTTTTAATTTGCATCTCCCTAATGACTGATGATGTTTAGCATCTTTTCATGTGCTTATTTCCCATTTGTATATCTTTTTACAAGGGTCTGTTCAGATCTTTTGCTTGTTTTTTAAAATGTGTTGTTTGTTTTCCTAAGTTTTCAGAGCTCTTTATATAGTCTGGATGTAAGTTCTGTATCAAGTTTGTAAATTTTTTTTTCTCCAGTCTGTGGCTTGTGCTTCCATCCTTTAATAGTGAGAGAAGTCTTTCATTTTGATGAAGTCCAGTTTACCATTTTTTTCTTTCATGGATTCTATTTTTGTGTCGTATCTAATATATATTTTCCTGACCCGAGATCTAATGGCTTTCTCCTATATTTTCTCCTAGAATTTTGTAGTTTTTAAGTTTTATGTTTAGGTACATGATCCATTTTGAGTTGAATTTAATATCAATGCAAGATATAATCTAAGTTTACTTTTCTGTGTATGGATGTCCAGTTGTTCCAGGATCATGTAATACCCCCTCCGGTTTCTTTGGCATCTTTAACGAAGATGGACCACATATGGTGGACATATAAGAAGGGTCTACTTTGGGGATCTGTATGCTGTTCCATACAGCAGGGATCAAAACCATCCCCAGGAAAAAGAAATGCAAAAAAGCAAAATGGCTGTCTGAGGAGGCCTTACAAATAGCTGTGAAAAGAGAAGTGAAAATCAAAGGAGAAAAGGAAAGATGTACCTATTTTAATGCACAGTTCCAAAGAATAGCAAGGAGAGATAAGAAAGCCTTTCTCAGCAATCATGCAAAGAAATAGAGGAAAACAATAGAATAGGAAAGACTAGAGATGTCTTCAAAAAAACTAGAGATACCAAGGGAACATTTCATGAAAAGATGGGCTCAGTAGAGGACAGAAATGGTATGGACCTAACAGAAGCAGAGGATATTAAGAAGAGGTGGCAAGAATACACAGAAGAACTGTACAAAAAAGGTCTTAATGAACCAGGTAACCACGATGGTGTGATCACTCACCTAGAGCCAGACATCCTGGAGTGTGAAGTCAAGTGGGCCTTAGGAGGCATCACTACAAACAAAGCTAGTGGAGGTGATGGAATTCCAGTTGAGCTATTTCACATCCTAAAAGATGATGCTGTGAAAGTGCTGCACTCAATATGTCAGCAAATTTGGAAAACTCAGCAGTGGCCACAGGACTGGNCCGGTCCCATCACTTCATGGCAAATAGATGGGGAAACAGTGGAAACAGTGGCTGACTTTATTTTGGGGGGCTCCAAAATCACTGCAGATGGTGATTGCAGCCATGAAATTAAAGGACACTTACTCCTTGGAAGGAAAGTTATGACCAACCTAGATAGCATATTAAAAAGCAGAGACATTACTTTGCCAACAAAGGTCTGTCTAGTCAGGGCTATGGTTTTTCCAATAGTCATGTATGGATATGAGAGTTGGAAAGCTGAGCACTGAATTGATGCTTTTGAACTGTGGTGTTGGAGAAGACTCTTGAGAGTCCCTTGGACTGCAAGGAGATCCACCCAGTCCATCCTAAAGGCAATCAGTCCTGGGTGTTCATTAGAGGGTCTGATGTTGAAACTGAAACTCCAATACTTTGGCCAGCTGATGTGAAGAGCTGACTCATTTGAAAAGACCCTGCTGCTGGGAAAGATTGTGGGCAGGAGGAGAAGGGGACGACAGAGGATGAGATGGTTGGATGGCATCACTGACTCAATGGACATGAGTTTGGGTGGACTCCGAGAGTTGGTGTTGGACAGGGAGGCCTGGCATGCTGCAGTTCATGGGGTCGCAAAGAGTTGGACATGACTGAGCGACTGAACTGAACTGAACTGATCCTGTTCCAATGCGTTTTCTGTCTTTATATCAGTACCACACTGTCATGATTTTATATATGTGGGTTTTTATATGTGGTTTTATAACAAATCTTAAAATTGTGTACTGTAGTTTGCCTTCAGCTCTTCATTTAAAAAATTGCCTTACCCCTATTCTAGCTCCTTTGTATCTTAATGTATAGTTTAAAATCCATTTAAAATTTCTCCCATTTTTAATTTCTACCAAAATTCCTGCTTGGTTTTGATTGGTACTTCATCGACTCTCTAGATCAGTTTGGAGAGAATTGGCCTCTTCACAGTGTTGTACATTTCAATTGATAAATATGATATATCTCTCTATTTACTTAGCACTTTAAAAAATTTTTTCAGCACTGTTTTTGTAGCTTTCAGTGTACAGGTGTTGCACATATTTTGTTAAAATTATCTCAAAATATGTTATATTTTTAGATACTATTGCAAGTGATATTTAAATTTTTTCCCAGCTGTTTATTGCTAATCTTTAGAAACATAGTTGATTCTTGTATGTTGACCTTACATTAATTCTAGTAGCCTTTTTGGTAGATTCTATAAGATTTCCACGTGCATGACCATGTTGTCTATGAATACAATTTTACTTTTCTTTCCAAATTGTCCACCTATAGGAATATTTGGTTTCCTGGCTTTGTCATAGTGTCTAGGACTTCCATTTGTGTTGGTTAGAAATGTTGAGAATGGACACAACTTGCCTTGTTTCCCATTTAAGGGGGAAAACATGCACTTTTTCAATTTTTTATTGTGATGTTAACCATGGATTTTTTAAAAAAATAGTTGCTCTTTATCAGGTTGGGGGCATTCCTTTTTTCCCTCTAGTTTGCTGAAAAGTTTTTATCATGATTTTTGTTAAATGATTTTTAAAATCTGTTAAGCTCATCATACGGTTTTTCTTCCCTAGTTTGTTAATATAATACATTTCATTGACTGACTTTTGAAGATTAAGCCAAAGGAGGTATGTTCTCAAGGTAAACCCCTCTTGGTTGTGGTGTCCTGCTCTCTGACATATTGTGGATTTGATTTACTAGTATTTTTTTTAGAATTCGTGTCTGTGTTTGAGATAAATACTGGTCTGATATTTTTGTATGGTTTGGTGTCAGGATAGTACTCATCTCAGCATGAATTGAGAAGCGTTCCTTCCTCTTTTGTTTTCTAATCAGAGGAAACAGACTTTCTGCCTAGAGTCAGGTCTGTGTCTTTGGAGGAGTCATCCATCCCATCTCTGCTCTCCAGTCCCCCTGTCGTCCTTGCGTGTGCGGGACCCGTGGTGCTGGCTCACTGTCTTAGTTGTTAGGGTCTCCTTTCTTCATCTTAATCGTCTTAGCTAGTGAGCTAATTGAACTTTATCTTTCAAAGAACCCGTTTTAATTTAACTGTTTTTCTCTATTGTTTATATTTTCTGTTATGCTTATTTCTACTCATCTATGTTACTTCTCTCCTTCTACTTACTCTGTGTTTCCTTTGCTCTTTTTTTTTTTTCAGTTTCTTTTTTTAAATCCAGAATATATTCATTGGGATGTTTTTCTGTTCATCTTGATTCAAGGTGCTTTTGGGGCTGCCACACCTACCTTCTTGAATCGTCTGTGCTGCTTTTGTGATGACGGAGGTGGTGCCACGGTCCCAAATGCTCTCTATAAGTCCTTAAAGAAGTTTCCAACTCCTAGTATAGGAAAATAAGCAGAACATACAGACAATTCACAAAAAAAGATATAAAAATAGCTATTACACATGCTGTTCATTCTTTTTTGTTACTAGAGAGATCCACATTGTTGGTGGGAATGCAAAGTAGGTCAGCCTCTCTGAGGGAGCAGCTGTTAAAATCTGTGTCTGTGCTTCCATTTGTATCAGCAGTGCAGCGTGGGCGTTTACCCCGAGTGCACACCTCCAGAAATCAAGAAGTGTGTACATGCAAGCTCACTCACTGCTGAGCTGTCTGTGCTTGCAAAACACTGGGGCCTACCTGCCATCCAGGCCTCTCAGACTGTGGGCTAAACTGGGAGCAGTCACATGGTGGAGGACTGGGCAGCTCTCAGGAGCAGTGGGAACTGCCTGCCGTCCAGGCCTCTCAGATTGTGGGCTAAACTGGGTACATTCACACGGTGGAGGGCTGTGCAGCTTTCAGGAATAGTGAGAAGATCTTTATGACCTGGAATGAGGGTGTTTTCCAGGAGGTGTTATGTGAAAAGGCAAAGAGGAAAGGAACGTTCATAATTTACCACCTCCCTTGTGAGAAGCAGGAGAACAGTCAACAGGAGGGAGGAGCCAGAACGCATGGGTTGGTCCTGCAGAGATGGGGTGGGGTGGCCAGGAATTCAGGGCAGAGTGACAGTTGTTCGAGTTTATCTTTTTATATAGTTGTGATTCTTAGACACATGTTCTGCACATTTAAAACATAAACTAAAAGATGAGAAGAAGGGGGGAATCCCAAAACGGAAAAGAATTGTAAATAAATAAGTCTGATTGTATTCCCAAGAACTGCATAGCCACCCTTGAGGGGTGGGGGAGGGAGCTGTCAGTGGGGGACGCAGTACCCTCAGTCCTGGGCAAGGCTCACCAGCCCGAACTCTCGTTGGTAGCTGTTCCTGTGTTGGTTTGGGTAGGACTCGGGGAATGATGTCATGTCTGTGATGGTGCAGCACTGTGGCGTTGCTGCTGGGGGCCAGGCTCCTGCTGTGGAGAAGAGGTGTCTGACAGGGAGCTCAGCACCAGGGTGCTGTGTGGACCCCGGATTCTAAGACAGGGACCTATGTGTGTGCTGCTGCCTGCGTGCATGTGTGTGTTGTGTATGGGGTGTATGCACATCCATGAGTGTGCATGCGTGTGCATGTACACAGGCTTTTTAGCTCTGTGTGCTAGAGGAAGCAAAGACTGCAATAGCAGGGAGCGTATCTCACCACTGTCTTGGTCTTCGGTAGCTTTTCTCAGGAGAGCCGGTAAGGAAGGAAGGAAGTCAGGTGGCAACTGTTAGTGTCAGTGGGCTGCTTAAGTTGAAATATAATTGCAACCATTGCAATAAAACTTGCATCTGACAGAGCGGTGGTGGCTGTTACACGGAGGGAGAGAGCTGGATGGGGGTCAGGGTATTTGTGAGGTCTTGAAGGGTCTCCTCTCACAGTGCTTGTTAGTTGCACTAGAAAAAAATAGTGACAACAGTGGAGCGCTCGACAGCAGTGTGCCCAGAACCTCAAGAGAGCAGTGGGGGTCCTGTGCATCTGGATGTGATTCTCAGGTGCTGTTTAGCCAGCAATGAGATATCTGAATTGAATCCTGAGAAAATGTCAAGCAAATGCAGAATAAGGCATATTCTACTTAATAAAGGAAAGAGCCAGACTCTTTCAAAGTGCTGGTATCATAAAGGGGCCTGCCAGAGGCCAAGCCAGTGAATGCAGATTTCAGTTGTTGACCTCGCCCAGGAGAAGGGAGGTGCCACACGCCTCTTGGTGCACAGGGGTGTCTGGGGCGCCAGGCCTTTTTCTCACCACTTCTACCAGTGCACTCACCCATGTTCCCAAGTCCTCCGAGGACTTGTCACTGTGGTGGCTGCCCTTTTTTGCTGGCACATGTACGTATTTTTGCTTCTTTCCATGCAGCAGACTGTGAGGTGTTTGAGGGCAGACTTACCTGTTGGCTAACTTTACATCCCCCAGAACAGCATTTCTTAATAATTAATGAGGGCACCAAAGAGCTTTTAGCTTATGTGGGTTATCTCTGGGTATTTACCATATTAGAAATTAAAGATTTGTTAAAATATTTATTAACTTATTGAAAAATAGCAATACCGAACTCATTACATCTTAGCGTGAACAGCACAGTCACAGGAGCAGCTCCCGTGCAGTGAGGTGCCGTGAGAGAGCAGGCTTGTTTGCAGGTGTGAGAGCAGCGTCTGCATGATTCCCATCTGCTGGGTGCCCACACTGTGCAGCCTCTGGAAACCTCCACTGTGTGTGTAAAAGAGAGGAGAGGAGAGGAGAGCGAATGGCATCTCGTGACCTCACGAAGCCCCTGAAAGGGCCTCGGGCACTCCTAAGGGTCCCTGGGCCACTCTGAAAACCACTGGCTCGGAACAAGTTCTGGTTCCTGGAAGGCGTCAGTGAGTGTCTGTCAGATGAACTGATAAATTCCAGGCTGGCCATTTGATGGACCATCAAAGCTCGGTGAGGTTCACGAGCTGTGATGCGCTCGCGTGGTCGACCTCTGGCCTCAGCGCTCTCTTCCTGTGCTGTGACAGGTGTCCCCGTGAGCAGCAGGGTGTCCTCCAAGATCCAGCAGCTCCTGAACACCCTGAAGAGGCCAAAGCGCCCTCCCCTGAAAGAGTTCTTTGTGGATGACCTTGAAGAGCTGTTGGAAGGTGAGCGCTCCGACCCTGGCCCTCCAGTTTGTGCGAGCAGGGCACTGCCGGGTGTGATGACAGGGTTATCCCCGCGGCAGATGCAGAAAAGCATGCTCTGTGTCCAGACTCCGGTCACTGTGTGTGCAGTGACCTCCCATCACACCTGATCCCGGCACTGTGTGCACCAGGCGTAGCTAAGAGCTGGCGTCTCTGTGCCTTGCCTCCTGGTAAGACTCTATGTGTAGGAATACATCTAAGACTTCAGTTTATCTCCATGATTTAAGTTTTTATTTAAACTTTAAGTCTGAGCTACTTGTCTTCTCTTGGTCTTAAAGCATTGTGTTTTCAGCAAAGTTTGGGCTCTTCTTTAGAATTTCTGCCTGTCATTTATGAATTTTATATATATATTTAGGAAAGAAGAGCATAGACTTACTGAGAAGTATAAATCTATAGGAGAAGAGAAGTCAGGTCCCATACAAGACTCCAGCATGTGACGTGTCATCGTGGCCTTGGGGCCACCTGGCCCCCCAGCCCTTGGTTTCAGCACCACTGCCATCCTTGGGGCCACCTGGCCCCCCAGCCCTTGGTTTCAGCACCACTGCCGGGCAGTCGCCCCTTAGGCCAGCTCTGGTGTCTCCCCCTACCTGGGGGTTAGCGTGGCTGTTAGGGCTTGTCTGTGTAATCACATCACGCCTTTCAGATTCAGAGTTCAATTCCATGAATGCTTTTTAGAAAGTCTTTCTTATACTTGGGCAAATCGTGGTTACATATCCACTGAAAATATAATAGATTTTACTTTATTTTTTTTCTTCCAACATGGTTTGAGTCCAAACTGCAGTGGTTATTCTGTTCTCATCCTTCATAAGTGAGGACACCTGCTTCTCAAATGTCTTCAGGTGAAAGCCTGGGGTCCTTGTGACTGTCTGGTTACAGTCACAGGACTCATCCTGATTTCTTTCCATCCTTGGTCAGCTGGTCTGTGACTATTGTAATGATAAGGAAATTTAAAGAAGTGATGGTAGCCTTTTTAGAGTTGGTGCTTTTGAAGAAGAGAATGATAAAACGTAAGCCTAACAAGCAGAGTGTGTGCCTGGTTCTGGAAATGCTGGTCTTCACGTGTCCGTTTTGCTTGCAGTGCAGCAGCCGGATCCGAACCAACCGAAGCCCGAGGGCAGCCAAATGGCGGTGCTGCGAGGGGAGCCGCTGGCCGAGGGCTCCTGGCCGCCCTCGCTGCTGGCCGCCTTGCAGCAGTGGGGTACCACACAGCCCAAAGCTCCGTGCCTGACTGCCCTGGACACCGCCGGGAAGGCCGTCTACACCCTCACCTATGGCAAGTATCAGCAGGAGGCGAGGGGCCACACAGATGTGAGCTCGCGGGACGGGGGAGAGCAGATTCCTGACGATCTGACACAGCGGGTGGGAAACAGCCTTGCCTCACCTTCCCACGCGCTACCCTTCCCACCAGCAGGGACCACCCCCTGTACTCCACTTCTGTGTGTGCCTTTCTGACCAGTGGAGTTCAGTTTTGTTTCATTTCGAACTTTGTAAAAATGGCATTAAGCAGTGTTTGGTTTTTTTTTGGTTTGGCATTTTTTGGTTCCATTTTCGTCTTTACGTAACACAAATCACATGCCTTGGGCTCAGTGTGTTTTCATGGAACACTTGGCCCCAAGGTACTCCTGGTGCCCAGGCCGGTGTCGCCCAAAGCCAAGGCCAGTGCCCTGCTGACCACGGGTGTGAGTACGTCCCGCCTGCCTGGGCTGTGTCATGTTCGGCGCTGTCTGGGACTCACCCATGTACCATGTGGTCAGTTCATCCTCGTCCGTGGGTGTTGTTTCATCCGTCTGCTGACGTCCGCACTGCACAGTCTGTGGACATCTGGGTTGTGTCCACGGCAGGGCTGCTGCGTGTTGTACTGTTGTGATCATTCTCTGTGGGTCTTTGGTGGACGTGTATTAGGCATCTGTGCTGCTGTGGGCATGGGGTGACTGGCCGTGCAGTTTCAACACCCCGACTCAGTGCTGGACCCTGTCTCCTTTCTCCTTCCTGGGGAGTGTGCATCACGGTGCCCAGTTCAGTGCTGACTCTGGCTTCCTGGTGCTCAGGGTGCTTCTCACATGCTTGTGGGCTATGTGAGCCCTCTTTCTAGGAAGTACCCGGATCTTTAGCTCATTTCTCTGTCCATTTGCTGATGCTTTTTATGTTTCAGTTAGGCGCCTTTTCTCCAGTACATGTTTTGCAAATGAATTCTTCCACTCTTTGTACTGCCTTTTAACACTTTTCACTGTGACTTTAGATAAATAAGAGGCCTTAGCCTAATGCAGTCTAATTTATGTATTTTCCTGCTTCTCTGTGCTTTCTGTCCAGTGTTGGAAGCCTTTGCCAAACCTTAGGTCACACAGGTTTTCTCCTGCCTTCTCATCTGGAGACGCCTTTTACTTTTCATACTTAGTGCTACGATCTATTTGCAGTTTTCTTTTGTGTAGAGTGAACTTGGACTCATTTTCTCTCCTCTGAATGTAATTGATCCACGATCATTGGTGAGAAGCAGCACTTCACCCAGGGATGGCTTTGCAGTCCAATGGCTTTTCACCAGGTGAAAGATGTGCTTGTGGGTCTGTTCTGTCTTACTGTCTGCCATTCGTCCTGGCTTCCTGAGTCACTGGAGCTGTGAGTCAGTGTCGGATGTCAGTCCTTCTGCTCTGTGATTGATTCTCAGAATTTCCTTGACTCTTCTTGGCTCTTTGCATTTCCAAGTAAACTTTAGAATCACTGCATCCATTCCAGAAAAAATCCTCCAGGAGAGTGACCGACACTGCATTGAACCCATCCGTGTCGCTCTGATTGCGGAATCCTCCAGTTCTCAACCCTGGAATGTTCCCCTTTCAAGGTCTGCTTTAGTTTCTCTCAGTGAAGGCTTATACTTTTGAGTTCAGGAACCTTGAACTTCTTTTGTTAGATTTATTCCTATTGGAATGGAATGATTAAGTCTTTTCTATGCCTTGTTGCCTGTATATAGAAAAGCAATTGCTTTTTTAAATGGTGACTTTGTATCTGGTGATCTTGCTAAAGTGATACCTTAGTTCTTTTTGATCTCTTAGTGAGTAGTCCTGAGCATGCTGTTCACAGTCAAGTACCTATGGGCAGTGATCTGTCATCCTGGCCTTCCTGGTGCTTCTGTTCCTGGGGGCCACCAGTGCATTGTGAGCCCTTCCCCGTCTCAGATGGACAGCACTTGGTCTTGATGCAGATGTTTACTGTAGCTTTTTTGCTTGTTTTATGGTAGAAATTCTTCATCAGGTTAATGAAGTTCACTTCTATTCCTAATTTGCTAAAAGCTTTTTGACATGCATTGACTTTTTCTGCTTCCTCAAGATGATCGTGTGACTTCTCTGTTCTCCTCTACTAGTTTGATGAGTTGCTGTTGTTTTGTCCGTCTGTTGTGTCTGACTTCTTGCGACCTGATGGACTGCAGCACACCAGACTTCCCGTCCTTCACCATCTCCCAAAGCTTGCTCAAACTCACGTCCATTGAGTTGGTGATACCATCCAGTCATCTCATCCTCTGTCACACACTTTTTCTCCTGCCCTCAGTCTTTCCCAGCATCAAGGTCTTTTCCAGCGAGTGGGCTGTTTGCTTCAAGTGGCCAAAGTATTGGAGTTTCAGCTTCAGCATCAGTCCTTCCAATGAATATTCAGGACTGATCTCCTTTAGGATGGACTGATTGGATCTCCTTGCAGTCCAAGGGACTTTCAAGACTCTTTTGCAGCACCACAGTTCAAAAGCATCAGTTCTTTGGCACTCAGCCTTCTTGATGATCCAACTTTCATGACCACTAGAAAAACCATAGCTTTAACTATATGGACCTTTGTCAGCAAAGTGATGTCTCTGCTTTTTAATACACTATCTAGGTTTGTTATAGCTTTTCTTCCAAGGAGCTAGCGTCTTTGTAATTTCATGGCTCTAGTCCCTGTCTGCAGTGATTGGGAGCCCAAGAAAATAAAATCTGTCACTGCTTTCACTTTTCTCTCTTCTATTTGCCATAAAGTGATGGGACTGGATGCCTTAATCTTAGTTCTTGAATGTTGAGTTTTAGGGCAGCTTTTTCACTCTCCTCTTTCACCCTCATCAAAAGGCTCTTTAGTTCTTTATTTTCTGCCATTAGAGTGTTGTCATCTGCATGTCTGAGGTTGTTGATATTTCTCTCTTAATTTCAGCTTGTGAGTCATATACAGTCTAGATGTACTCCTTTCCCAATTTTGAACTAGTTCATTGTTCTTTGTCTGGTTCTAACTGTTGCTTCTTGACCTGCATACCAGTTTCTCAGGAGGCAAGTAAAGTGGTCTGGTGTTTCTGTCTTTTTAAGAATTTTCTACAGTTTGTTGTGATCCACACAGTCAAAGGCTTTAACGTTGTCAGTGAAACAGATGTGTTTTCTGGAATTTTCTTGCTTTTTCTATGATCTAATGGATGTTGATGAGTTCCATTGGATAATTTTCAAATGTTAAGCAGCCTGTACATTCCTAGAATAGATCCCACTTGGCCCTAGTATCTTTAAGTAAATGCCTGAGTTCTGTTTGCCAATATGTTGTTTGCAGGCTTTGTACCTGTGCTCATTAGAGAGATGGGTCTGTAATTCTTTAGGAAAAGAGCTTACTGCCCACTTGTGAAGACAGCCTTCACCTGTCCAATTCAGCTTTTGGGTCCAGGTTGCATGAGGGGTGGGGACAGGACCTGTGTCCTGCTCAGCCAGGACTGTCCTTGGCAGTGTCCAGCGGCTGCAAGGCCACTGTCGACTCTCCCCTTCACAGGCCCTTCTCGAGCCTCGTTCTGCCTTGGTGCTTCCCAAAGATCCCGGCCTGAGGCCCTTGCCTCCTTGTCCTGCATCTTAAGTCTGTACCCACTATGCCCATACGACACCATTCGCTGCTCTGCTTCTTAAGTCAGGACTCCTGCTGTTTTCTTTCCTGGGCTAAATGTCCCGTCTTACCTCCCTGTTTCTCCCATCACCTCTCCTCTGGCTGCGGGACTTCCTGCATCTCCCTCTTAGAAGGGGGTCAGGGCTGTTGGGCTCTGCAGGCTTGGTGATGCCTTCTGAAAAGTTAGAGGCCAGGTTGCTGCCACTCTCTGACCGATGGGTTGTCTCATCCCTCTATGGCTTTTGGCTCTGCCTTGGGTCTGTCTTGCTGTGATGCATTTAGCTGTGATGTTCTTTGGAAGCTTCTGCTCAGGGACCACATGCCTTCTTAAATCTATGGAGTGGTATCTTTCATCAGTTTCTGGAAAATTACACCCATAAGTTCTTGATATAGTGTTTCTTCCCCGTTTATCTCTCCTGGCCTTCTGGGACTCTGACTGCATTTATATTAATACCTTCTCTGAGTCCCATGCACCTTTAATAATCTTCTTTTATATTTTGCATTCTTTTTTATATATACTTCAGTTTGGAGATTTTCTGTTTTCCTTTATTCAGATTCTCTAAACTGGTGTATTCTGAGTGACCTCATCCACAATCTTTGTCTTACATAGCGACTTGAGGGCTCTGAATGGCTTCTCCAAGGCTTCCACTTGCATGCATGGCTCAGAGATTCAGTGGACTCTTCTTGAGGCCCTGGTCTCCATGCCCCAGCAGCAGCAATTGATGGGCATAAGACCATGAGGCGCCGATATCCTATGGGTGGCAGGACCCCAAACACCCCAGTTTTTGCAAGAACAGCTGTGGAAGATCAGCGCCCCTCCCCAGGGGTCAACTCCTTGGAGTCAACTCCCCCAGCAGATGGTCTTGCATTTTATCCAGCTTTAAAATCATTTTGGATGGGAGTGCTGCTCTGCCATCCATCACTGCCCATTCCTGCTTAGCAGTGGAGCCTCTTACTATATGCATTAAGAGTCATCCGTATTGTTGTATATAGTTGTGGCTCCTTCATTCCCATTGAGGAATGAATACTATTTCAGAATATATGTATCCATCATCCTGTTGGTAGACACTATGTCATTTCCATCTTGATTGTTACAGTCAGTGCTGCCTGGTACACAAGCGTGCATTCTTGTAGAGCTTGTATTAATATTAGGAGACGAGGCGGTAGCTCAGTCTAGGATAATGACATCTTTACCTTTGTCAGGTAATTCCAGACCTTTCCAGTTTGCACTCAGCTGCCTGGTGTGTGAGTCCCTCTCCCTGCCGTTGGCTGCATTACCTTGAGCTAATCTGCTGAGAACGCAGTGATAGTCATTGTGGTGCTAATCTGGTGATGGCTGATACACTGCAGGCTTTCCCTGTTTTCATCCTTTAGGTTTTCTCTTTTGTTAAATGCTGTTGAGTCTTCTGCACATTTTTACACAGGGCTGTTTATAGCATTTCTGTGTTCTGGATATCTGCACTTGTCAGCAGCTTGTGCTACAAGTGTTGCCAGCCACGTGTCCTGACTGCTCACGGCTGCACGGCTAGCCTCCCCCTTCCCTCCTGGGCTGGAGCACTGCTGTTCTGCCATCTGCATGGAGACCCGCCACCTGCTGGAGGGTGTGTGTGTGTGGTGTCTGTGACAGTGTGTGTATGTGTGACGTGTGTGTGTGTGGTATGTTGTAGTGTATGTGTGTGAGGGGTCCAGACGCACCTCTCAGCAGCTGTGGCGCTGCTGGGTCACCGAGCATCTCCCTGACTGTTCTCTTGAGTGAAGAGCAGAAATGAAGATAGGACCCACCTTGTGAATTATTGTTGTAGAGGTGAAATGAACTTCATGCCACTTGCGTAAGGGGATGAGTGAGACATAGTGGAATGAAAATGCATTCACTGTGATTTCACACTTGATTAAACTAAGAGTGAAGTGTTAATATGATCCCATTTTTAAAAAATTATGCATATTATGTGTGTGTATACACATACGTACATAATAGAAAGAATGCTTTTTTCAGCTGGCTTTTCTGTATTTTGAATTTTTTTTATAATGTTTTATTTTTCTGTTAAGAAAAATAAATCTGTAACTTGTTTCTAAGAGAAAACTATGATGTTCATTATCACATTGTGCAAAATAACTATCAATTGGCAACTATTAATATCTACATTTTCACAATAGAGTAATAATGGTATATTGTGGAGTGTTGTGATTGCTACATTAAAATGGTAATTATTAGTTTCTTAAATTTTACATTGTTTGTATTTTTATTTTATTTTAGGCAAACTTTGGAGTCGAAGTTTAAAACTAGCTTATACGCTACTTAATAAACTGACTAATAAGAACGAACCACTGCTTAAACCTGGAGACAGAGTAAGTAACCAAATGAACCTTTGTTGGAGGGAGTGAGCGAGAGTGGAGGCCAAAACTCCATTTTGTTGACATCAGTGCTGTCGATTATTTTGACTCACAGCATTAACACAAGCGGTTTAAGTCAGCAGTGAAAAGCACTGAATGTTGGGAAAGTTTGTGTCTATGCAGATAAAACGATGGTTCCTTTTATTCTCACTCATTGCACAGTCTCTGATTCTTCACTTTCTTTTCTGTTCCACTTCATATGTGTTGGTTTTAATAAAAATATTAATCTCAGGTATTAATGTTCCATTTCCAAAGCTGATATTTTGTGAGGAATTGCTGATGTTACTTTGAAATTCTGGGTGTTTTATATTCATCCCCTAGCCTGTTCCGTGTGGCCAGGAAGCCCCCTCTTTCCCGCTGGCCAGAATGGAACAGGGGAGGCTGTTGGCCTGCACTCCCACCAGTGCAGTTCCTCATCCTGCACTGCCCAGCACGGTCCACAGTGGCTCCATGGGCTGTTCAAATTAACCCAAGAGTTGTGCGAATCCTGTTTCCCAGGATCAGTCAGTCACTGCTTGTGACCAACAGCTAGCATATTTAATAGAGAAGGAATGCTGAGAAGGAGCGTTTCCGCTACTGTGGGAAGTTCTGCCCACAGTACTGCTCTCGGCAATCTGAGCCAGACATGAGGAGGCCAGGTATAACAGGGAGTTCAGAATGGTGAAAACCAGCCCGCTCAGCAGTGACGTCCCCTGTGAGGAGGGGTGCCTGAAGTCAGCGCACCCAGCAGAGGAGCTGTGAGTGGACAGGATGATGCTGAGTTTCAGGCATCTCTCCAGGCGCCTCAGTCTTTAATGTAAATCAGCAGCCAAGGATGTGTAAGGACAGAAACTTGGGTGTGAAAGAGAAGAACCAAAGGGCCAAGAAATGGGCAGATAAATTAAAGGAGAGGTGGGGGAGAAAGGTCACAAGAAACTGTGAGAAATTCTTAAAGAGATGGGAATACCAGACCACCTTACCTGCCTCCTGAGAAATCTGTATGCAGGTCAAGAAGCAACAGTTAGAACTGGACAGGGAATAATGACTGGTTCCAACTTGGGAAAGGAGTACGTCAAGGCTGTATATTGTCACCCTGCTTATTTAACTTATATGCAGAGTACGTCATGAGAAATGCCAGGCTGGATGAAGCACAAGCTGGAATCAAGATTGCTGGTAGAAATATCAGTATCCTCAGATATGCAGATGACACCACCCTTATGGCAGAAAGTGATGAAAAACTAAAGAGCCTCTTGTTGAAAGTGAAAGAGGAGAGTGAAAAAATTGGCTTAAAACTCAGCATTCAAAAAACTAAGATCATGGCATCCAGTCCCATCACTTCATGGCAAATAGATGGGGAAACAATGGAAAGCAGTGAGACTTTATTTTTCTGGGTTCCAAAATCACTGCAGTTGGTTATGCAGCCATGAAATTAAAAGATGCTTACCCCTTGGAAGAAAAGCTATGACCAACCTAGACAGCATATTAAAAAGCAGAGGCATTACTTTGTCAACAAAGGTTCGTCTAGTCAAGGCTATGCTTTTTCCAGTAGTCACGTATGGATGTGAGAGTTGGACCATAAAAAAAGCTGACCACCAAAGAACTGATGCTTTTGAACTGTGGTGTTGGAGAAGACTCTTGAGAGTCCCTTGGACTGCAAGGAGATCCAACCAGTCCATCTTAAAGGAAATCATCCTGAATATTCTTTGGAAGGACTGATGCTGAAGCTCCAATACTTTGGCCACCTGATGCAAAGAACTGACTCATTGGAAAAGCCTCTGATGCTGGGCAAGATTGAAGGCAGGAGGAGAAGGGGACGACAGAAGATGAGAGGTTGGATGGCATCACTGATTTGATGGACATGAATCTGAGCAGGCTCTGGGAGTTGGTGATGGACAGGGAAACCTGGTGTGCTGCAGTCCATGGGGTCGCAAAGAGTCGGACACGACTGAGCAACTGAACTGAACTGGGGGAGAAAGGAAGGGAGGAAGAGGAAATAAACCCGCCTGGAGGAAAGATAGAGACCGAAAATAAGTTTTTAAAAATATTAGTATTAACATCCCTGGAGATCTGATGTGAGGATATATCTCTGTAAATCAAGGAAAAGATACTAATAGGTGAGACTGAGAGATGGAAAGTAGGAAGAACAGTGCAGGTTAGACTTGATCATGAAGGCTGCCCTCTAAGATGACTTCTAGAGGAGAGAGGGGAATTTTGCATCATAATAGTGATGCCAGACCATTTCCAGACCTGGGGTGAAGGACCTGTGGGGATGCAGGGGCCCACACCAAGGCACCTGCCCAGGTACTGGAAGGTGGGCATAGCTTTCAGGGAGAGTGGGCTGTCTGGGAAGACCCAGCAGCCCCAGGGCTGGGCTTCTTGGTGTGATGCTGGAGGACACGGAGCTGTATTTTCAACCTTCAGGTCTGTTCCTGGGCAGTCCACAACGATGAGGATGGGGCACTGTTTTCAGACAGGCAGCACTCGGACAGTCACAGAAGTGAGGATGGAGCACTGTTTTCAGACACATTGCACTCAGATAGTCACAGAGGTGAGGACAGGGCACTGTTTTCAGACAGGTAGCACTCAGACAGCTGGCTCTGAAGCACTGTCTCGGGAAGTTAGCAGAGGAAGTACTTGAGCATATGAATGAGTGGTCAGACAGGAGAGCTACCAGGGTGACCTCAAGCTGTGGGCCAAGGAGCAGCCCAGACTGGACCAGGAGGATGAGGCCCCAGGTAGGCCAGCTGGTCAGCAGCTGGTGAAACTGTGAGCTTACCTGCCTGGCTAGTTATTTGGAAATACTACTGACCGGGTTTGACAACCCAGTGGAGCATTTCTGAGAAAGCTGGCCGGTGCACACAGGGAATGAAGCTGGTGAAAGAGGCAGTGACTGTCCCACCAGAAGACAGGGCGGAGCTTGGCTGTGGAAGTGTAAACGGTACCAGATGATACTTTGTGTACCTGATGCTTTAGGACACACCTGCTGGAAACCCGGACTCATGTTGTGCTTTACAATGAGTCTAAGAATCACTCATTACTTTGTCTGGAGGAAAGTTCTTGCAAGGACATACTTACAGATATTTTATTGACTTGTAAGTGGATACACATAGTTGGGTTTGTTATAAAAAGGCTGACGAGATTACAGAGAGTTAGTGATCGGAGGTGGGTGGCAGGTTCATCCTCCTGTGGTAATGTATTTTTTAAAATTGAACAGACACAACTCTTTATAAGAGATTCTCTAAAAACGCGTTCAAATCAGTTGCTCAGTCGTGTCCGACTTTTTGCAACCCCATGAACTGCAGCACACCAGGCTTCCCTGTCCATCACCAACTCCCCGAGCTTGCTCAAACTCATGTTTATCAAATCAGTGATGCCATCCAACCATCTCATCCTCTGTTGTCCTCTTCTTCTCCTGCCTTCAGTCTTTCTCAGCATCAGGGTCTTTTCCAATGAGTCAGTTCTTTGCATCAGGTGGCCAAAGTATTGGAGCTTCAGAATCAGCATCAGTCCTTCCAATGAATATTCAAGTATATGCTCTACCAAACATCCAGTCTCAAGGCTCACAGTCCTTTTAGTGGGACGAACACTTATTAACATCAACCTTCAAAGGAGATCTTTGCCATTGTCAAGAAACTTGTTAGAAACTTGATTTCCAGGCCTCACATACAGAGTGAATATAGATGTAGCTCAAGTTTTGTCTTGTTAAAGGGTTGTTATCCAAGGCTCTGTGTTAAGAATCTCCTCATATACTATTCTGGCTTACCATTAGGTTTCAGGCACACTTATTGCAATGTTACAGGCTTACAAATACTCCTAAATAGCTTTTGATTTAACCAGATTTTGTAAGACATGGAAGTTGGGATGATGGGAGAAGAGAAAGAAAGAGGGCAGAGGACTCAGGGTTCGTCTGCTGTAAAAGGAAGTAAAGCGCCTGTCCAATAGCTTCAGACTTGAGATGCAGCAAGATGAGCACAGTGTCTGAAAAGACGAGAGAGTTGGCTAAGGGAGGGTTTAAGATGTGTTAGAAGTGGTTGCCTTGGGGGGTGGGGAAGGGTGTAGGGTGCTGGTTTTCATTAGTCCTTTTTGTCATTTTAAATCTCTGTGCTCAAAAAAGATTTTTTTTTTATAAAAATGTAAGATAAATGTAATAGAATATGTAATTTTGGGGGCCATGCTTGTGGCATATGGGATCTAGTTCCCTGACCAGGTATCAGACCTTGGTCCCCTGCATTGGGAGTGTGAAGTCTTAACCACTGGACCACCAGGGGGTCCTGAGAACGTGTGGTTTAAACTGTGGCAGCATGATGACCAGATGAGAGCAGGGAGGGGACCCCCTGTGGAGACTCAGGGAGCAGGCAGGTGTGGGGGGCGGGGTCTTGCGAGGTATTCTATGCCCCCAGCTCTCCGCTGTTAGCGTTTCAGTCTTGAGTGAAGATCTGGCCAATTAAACTTCAGTGTCCAGATTTTCCCTTTTGGAAGATATTTGGATATACTTTGATTCCGGGTTCTCTTTTCATGTCCAGGTGATTTTCTCCTGGGCTACTTGATGGTGGGTGGTGGTCCATCACACCGTCCCTGAGTGGTCAGAGTGGATGGAGGTGGATCTAGACCCACTGGCAGACCCGGCCCAAATTGCTTTGCCAGACTTGCTTTTTATTAGGCCCAGGAATTTATTTTTTTTATTTTTTTATTTTTATTTATTTATTTATTTTTATTTTATTTTATTTTTTTTCCATTTATTTTTATTAGTTAGAGGCTAATTACTTTACATCATTGCAGTGGTTTTTGTCATACATTGAAATGAATTAGCCATGGATTTACATGTATTCCCCATCCCGGTCCCCCCTCCCACCTCCTTCCCCACCCCATCCCTCTGGGTCTTCCCAGTGCACCAGGCCCGAGCACTTGTCTCATGCACCCAACCTGGGCTGGTGATCTGTTTCACCCTAGATAATGTGCATGTTTCGATACTGTTCTCCCACCCTCGCCTTCTCCCAGAGTCCACAAGTCTGTTCTATACATCTGAGTCTCTTTTTCTGTTTTGCATATAGGGTTATCGTTGCCGTCTTTCTAAACTCCATATATATGTGTTAGTATACTGTAATGGTCTTTATCTTTCTGGCTTACTTCGCCAGAAAGTAAGCCAGAAAGGCCCAGGAATTTAAATTAACATGTTTTGTTGCATGTGGAGTAAAGACTTTAACCTAAAAACTATGTAGTAGAAGTTACATGGTTGTGGAAACTTAAGAACCAAGTATTAACACACAAAGTAACATTTTCTGAGCTAAAATCTGTCTCATCAGGTATGCTGATGACTGACTTCTCCCCAGGTGGATTGCAGGGTTTTCCTTTGTGCTCTTGTAGGTGGCGCTGGTGTTCCCGAACAGTGACCCAGTGATGTTCATGGTTGCGTTCTACGGGTGTCTCCTGGCCGAGCTGGTTCCTGTCCCCATCGAAGTGCCGCTCACGAGAAAGGTAGCGCATGATGCCGGCTCGGGCTCGTGGTCCCTGAGGCTTGGTCCTGAAGCCCTGCGTCCCGTGCAGGTGTCTTCCTGTCCTTGCTCCAGGCGCCTCTTGTTGGGGGAGGACGGGCAGGCGGGCTTCAGAGAGACTAGGGCAGCTTTGCCCAGATGCCCGTTCGCGTGTCTCCCTGGGAGAAAGGTGCAAGAATGCCTGTTGGTGCTGATATCCCAACAGAAACGAACGTCTTTTCTTCTAACGAATAGAATTTGGGATCTGATGAGATTCTGTTAAACCGTTTCTCAAAATGACGTGCTTCTTGATAATAATTTTCACTTCTGGGTGAATCAGTCATTCCAGAGATGTGTTACAGCTCATTTCTTAGTGATAAACACATGACATGAGATCCTCCTGTGTTCCTATCACCTCCAAAACAGTGAGCAGATCTCATTGCTCACAGGTGGCTTCCAGTGGGGGAGGGCCTGATGTCCTAGATAGCTATTACACTTTAGATATAAATACCAGTAATGTGATTACTGAAAAGTATATTTTTCTAGGAGTAGACTCAACATGTATTTTAGAAAATCATAGTTTTCTATTGTTTCCCAGTGTTCAGGTAATTATTAACATGAGCATTATCAGCAAGAAATATTCGAGTTCAAGAATCCTCAAAGTAAAACTTGTGAATAAATGCAGTATATCCCAAAGGGTGATACATATGATATGCAGATATTTGAATACAGGTTTCTGAGGGAAAGAGTTTGTAAAACTTATAAGAAGAAAATGATAAAACGCTACTAAAGGACGTATTCTGTGTAAAAATAATTAAGATTGTTAAAGGTCAGACCTCCCCAGAATAATCTGTATATTTTAAACACAGATCAAGTGTAAATTTCAGTGCTATTATTTTTGGAGTTTATTAAAATGCTAGTAAGAGTAATTTGCAAGAAAAACTGAGAAGTTAGTCAGTTACCCAGAACTTTATCTTTTGAACTTAAGAACTTAAATATTTCATTTTGAGGGAAATGATGCACACACCTCTCAGGCTCACCTGGTCTAGTTTTGCAGGTGCTGAGGAAAGCCGTTCTGTGTGCAAGCAAGCCCCCTGCCCCTCTGTTTCTGCAGGATGCTGGCAGCCAGCAGGTCGGGTTTCTGCTGGGCAGCTGTGGCATCTCCCTGGCCCTGACCACAGACGCTTGTCAGAAAGGCCTGCCCAAGGCTCAGACCGGAGAGGTGGTGACCTTCAAAGGTGGGCCCATGCGCGGGCAGCATGTGGCAGGGTTCTCTGCTAAACTGGGCCCTTGGGCGTCCTTTCCTGTCAGCAGCTGCCACAGAGACAAAGGGGCCTTCAGCAAAAGCGGGGTCTTGTTTTAGACCCTGGTGAGTCTTGCTCCTCACCTGGCTCAGGGTCTGTACCTGCGCTGGCCAGCCTGGCAGCCACTGGTCATTAAACATAAGTGTACCAAGGTCAAGCGAGACGGGGGCTCCTGCCCACCGTTCAGTGGCTCGGGCAGCGTGTTGGATGCAGAGGTGTTGGGAGGGAGCAGGGCCCTCTGACCCTGCCTCTGCGTGTCCATGTCTGTGCCCTCACAGGCTGGCCCCCCCTCACCTGGCTGGTGATAGATGGGAAGCACCTGACCAAGCCCCCCAAGGACTGGCACCCGGCATTGCAGGATGCGGGGCCCCGGACCGCCTACATCGAGGTATGCCCTTGCTGGGCCCCGTGCTCAGGCCCCTCCATGTGGGTTTTTCCGTCACCCCAGAGCCTCCCCTGCTGCCTCCCTGGGACCACCTGCGTGCCGTGTCGCCCCTCACCCACCGAGGGTGAGCCTGACGTCAGCTGAGGGCATCACTTCGAGGGCCCGGGCATACTGTGTGCTCTGGTTGAACCTGTGGTGGGTGAACGACAGCCTCCAGAAATGTCACCTAATGAGCTCGTGCTTTGGAATCTTTCAGTACAAAACCAGCAAGGAGGGAAGTACGGTGGGAGTGGCGGTGTCGCATGCGTCCCTGCTGGCGCAGTGCCAGTCTCTGACCCAGGCGTGCGGCTACTCGGAAGGTAAGGGTTGGGGCAGCTCTCCGGCCCCTCCCAGAGCTCACGCAGCGAGGCCTGTGGGAGGGGAGGGACACGGCATGCTGTGGCCCTGGGGCTTCAGGGTGACCTGAGAAGGGGGCGGGGCCTGGGAACGAGCGACCCTCCGCTGCCCTCCGTCCGCTCCTCGTCTGAGAGGAGAGGGAAGTGCGCACTCCTGCGGCCTCTGGCGTGTGGCTGCTCCCTGTGTTTCCAGAGGAGCGGTCAGCTTGTTCTCTGTGCTAACTCGCAGTTGTGTGATCTGCTTTCACATTTACCAAGATTATTGACTGGTTGGGACATGGCATTTGGAAGTGCTTTGTATGTTTCCTAGAACTCCTTATTTGTTGATGATGTAATCATCTCAGGGTGTCTCTGAAAATGCACGTGACTTGTGAGGAGGGTCAGTTGGTTGTTTAACCATCTTTGTCCACTTTCAGCTGAAACATTAACAAATGTGCTGGATTTCAAAAGGGATGCCGGCCTGTGGCATGGAGTGTTAACAGTGAGTGCTGTGTCTGTACTACCTAACTGTGGGGAGGTTGCTAATGTTTCACGCCCGTGGGCAACACCAAGCCCCACTGTGGCTGGTGGAGTCAGCCCTTGTGCTGTGAGTGGAGCTCTGACACTCTCTGTGCCTCTCCTGGTGGGGCCCCCTTCCCCCACAACCACGGGTCTCTTCGCAGAGCATCCTGAACAGGATACATGTGGTCAGCATCCCGTATGCGCTGATGAAGGCGAACCCACTCTCCTGGATTCAGAAAGTGTGTGTGTATAAAGGTAACAGAGGAACGTCGTCTGTCTGTGTGCCCTTCCTTAGAGGGGTCTTTGAGTTAATCTTTGGTGATTAAGAAATAATGCAGCAGACACAGAGCTGTGGGGGGGGGGGGGCGGGGCCAGGGCAGGCACCCCCTGCCCCACAGCCTGACTCTCCAGTGCTGGGAATAGGGGGCTGTGGAGGACGGCTCTGTTCAGCATGGCCATAGACTCCTGACTTCATGCTGTCACATAAACGCTCCTGATTCTTAGCTCTTGAGATGGCTTGAATTTGAAGTTAGGGCTCTTCAAGCCACCAGTAGCAAAGCTGATTGTTCAAACAAAGCAGTTTATGATCCAGAGCAGGGGGGCTGCCCGCAGGGCCACACCCACCCTGCTGTCCATCCAGAGTCAGTCGGTGCTTCCCGAGCATGGCCACCCCTGCGTGATCGGGTGTCCGTAGGTTCTGCTCCAGCAGGGCTTGGCGGGCCTGCTGTGTCCTGGGTGCCCCATTCATGTCGACCACACTAATGACGTTGCCAGTTATGGAGTGTGGATGTGGGCCGTGCCCTGTGGGGGACTGTCTCTGATGACCCTGTCTGACAGATGAAAACCGAATCCAAGGGGGGTGTTTGGCAGTGCCCCCTCCCGCTAGAGGGAGCAGGGTCCCCCCGTGTCGGGGAGGGGCAGCCGGGGAGCAAGTGGCAGGTGTGGTGGGAGCAGGGGAGAGTCAGAACGGCCTCTTCACTGCTGGCTTCCAGGCAGGCCAGGTTGGGGAAGCCCAGAGGCCGGGCTGTGGGGGGCACTTGGCCTGCTCCGTGGGCCTGCCTGCCCGTGACGCAGACACATCCTGCTCCCCCACAGCCCAAGCTGCACTGGTAAAGTCCCGCGACATGCATTGGTCTCTCTTGGCTCAGCGAGGTCAGAGGGACGTCAGCCTCAGCTCCCTGCGCCTGCTGATCGTGGCTGATGGTGCAAACCCCTGTGAGTACCGCCCACCCCTCACCCCCAGAGCCCCTGTATAGTGTGGCCCTGACAACCCTGGGCTCCTGGGTACCTGACTGTTGGGAGGGCACCCCACCTTCTAGCACCCCGAAGCCTCTTATTTCCTCCATCCACCCCTGAGCCTCTCGTCCTGCCTCCAAAGCACCATAGGCCGCTGGCTCCTCTGTGTCTCCACCACACTCTTAGCGCAGCTGCTGAGCCACCAGGTGCCCCTCCCCAGGCCGGCCGGCCCGCAGACCTCAGAGCCCAGGACTCTGAGTGCCCATCGCTTCCCTGGTGCGCCGAGCCATCCAGACGTCTTGTTTGTCCCCTGCTGGATGCAAGGACCCATAGCCAGGTTCCCCTCCTTTCCTGAGCCTGCCCGTGGCAGAACGCTGCAGGTTGGGGTGCAGCCCTGGTCCTGGTGGGAGCAATGCCGTGCTGACTTAGGCCCTGAGCAGGCAGCACCACCCCAGACGGTGGCTGGGCAAGCGGGCAGAGAAGCAGGGTTGAAGGGCTGGGCTGCCCCTGGAGGGAGAGGCATGTTGAAGCCACTGGCAGACTGCAGCTGCGAGGCGCTTCCAGGAGTGGGTGCTCACAGGGCCAGGCCTCATGCTGCAGAAGGTTCAACTCCGGCTCTGTAAGTGGCCGGGGTTGCCTCCCATTTGCACAACTGCCAGTAGGTGGGCAAGGCTGTCAGACCTCAGACTCAACGCCAGGGGTGAGAGTCAGCTTCTTATTTGCTAGTGATTTGAAAACACATCCTGTTTTTTGTGGAAACAGCGCCCCCCCCACCATGAGACTGACGGGTTGACTGAGGTGAAGGGGTACAGCATCCGGGCCTGGTGCCTGGCATCCTCCACACTGGGTGCCTGATGGCCTTCCGCTCAGCGCTCATGTCCACTGTGTCTCACTCAGGGTCCATATCCTCCTGTGATGCATTCCTCAACGTCTTCCAGGCCAGAGGGCTGAGGCCAGAGGTCATCTGTCCCTGTGCCAGCTCACCGGAGGCGCTCACCGTGGCCATCCGCAGGTAGCTGATCATTCGCTCTGTCTTGTAGACACTTAATTTTTCCTCGTTCAGCTGAATTACCTGTGAGAGCAAATTTGGTTGATTGGTTCCTGAGCAAGAGAAACTGTGAGCAGTGCCTGGTCTGGGGCCCATCTCCAGGCATGTTCATGTCCTAGCAGGGCTGCCCCAACTGCCACGTCTGCACCCCCTGTTGGCCACACTTGCCTCCCCAGCTGTCCTGATTTGTGACACTGTACCATGGTGCTCCCTGGACCACCATCTCTGGATTATTGCAGCCCAGGACTCGCCCTGTTCTGATGGGGTTGTGAGGCCTGAGAGAGACAGCCTCCTGCTCTGTGCTCACCCATGTGACTCCCCAGGCCCCAGCGAGGTCGCCTTCCTACCCAGTCACCTCTGCTTACCTAAGGCTGCTGTCCATGCCCCCAAGTGCCATCCTCAGGTAGAGGGCAGTGCGCTCAGATTTGCGGGCACTTTGTTAATTTCCCACTCTCAGCTCAGTTGTTAAGAGAGTGAGTTTCAGTTGTGGTCTTGTATTACGTTGTTTATTTATCCATGGCAGTAAGAAATCCTAACATGTTGATAAGAATCAGCATTAAAAACATCACCTTTATCCTCCCCAGACCGCAGTGGGGGTTCTTCATGCCTTTGTTCTGTGGTGACCTCTTTTGCTCAGCAGAGTGGTTTTTCTTACTGGAAGAGACGTGATATTTGATTCTCAGCCTCCCAGATTCTGCTGCTGCGAAACCAATCAGGCCCAACTTGGCATTACAGCAGTGGCCACTTTACTGCCCCTGGCTTCCTGTAGTCGGGAGTCGGGACCACTCTTTGGGTCAGGCTGCTGCAGCTCTGTGGCCTTTGCATGGAATGGGTGGTGCGGCCTGCTGTTCTTCTGCCGTGGCTCCAGGCCACCTCCTCTGGTCTCAGGGTCCTCTGGGCTTGCTCCCAGGAAGCATGGACTCTGCTTACCTGCTGCCTGGGGCTCTGGGCACTGTCCCAGTACCACCTGGTGGAAGCGGTCACCTTTGTGCCCTCCTTGGAAGGCACGCAGTATCACTGCATGGTCCCCGCAGCCCCCTGGTCCCCTGCTGTGGAGCACATGGGGTGGGGTGTCAGGTCTCGCAGCCAGCATCCCTACAGCCTGGCGCCAGCTGGCACTTTGCTGCACATCATCCTGTTGTCAGGGAGCTGTCCCCTCGTCAGTTAAGAAATTTTGTTTCCAGGCCGCCTGATATGGGGGGCCCTCCTCCAAGAAGAGCTGTGCTGTCCATGAGTGGCCTCAGTCATGGGGTGATCAGAGTGGACGCTGAGGAGAAGCTGTCGGTCCTCACAGTTCAGGATGTCGGCCAGGTGATGCCTGGAGGTGAGGGCACAGCAGGTCATAGTGGGGAAGGGTCTTGTACTGTGGCTGGGTGGGCTCTAAAGAACAAAAATACTGGGCTTCAGATGGTCCACGTGGGCTGGGATTTTTGTTTGTAACATGTTTTCTGTTTTTTTGCCTCCCTTTGTATCAAGGGCAGTGTGTTTGCCCCATGACCCTGCCTTGGTCCCCTCAGGGCTGGGGAGTAGTGACAGAGCTCCCCTCTGGAAGGTCGTGCACCAGGCAGTCACATGCTTGTCCCTCGGCATGGCCTGCAGCCCTCAGGCCCTCAGCTGCAGTCACCAGTGATGGGGTTGTCTTGGTCCTGCTGAGGGCCTGTTAGGTGAGCAGCAGCGGGACCCTAAAGGCTCCAGGAAGGTTGCGGGCCAGGATGGCGCGTGAGTCACCAGAGGGGCGGCAGTGGGGGAGGGTGACAGCACCGTCTCCCCACAGGACCCCGCCTCGCCCTGAGCAGTGTCACAGCAGGGAATTTCGAGCAGAGCCAGCCAGAGGCCGGTGGCTTCATGAGTAAGGGGTGCCCTACATGTGCTCTGAGGCTGCCCCTTGCCGTGGCCACCCTGTGGTGCTCCAGCTCCCCTCCTGCCTGTGCCCACCCTGCTGGCGACCCTGGAGAGCAGCTTCTGTCTCCACTCAGGCCTTGTCGTGGTGCGCCCTGGTCCCAGGCCCGGGACCATGTCTGTAGCTGCCTCCTGCAGGCTCTCGGAGCAGGCTGGGCACAGAGGGAGGGACATGGCCGCATCTGGCCCAGTGCTGGTGCTAGGGGTCAGCACAGAACAAGGATGGACATTTATTAGGTTGGTGCAAACATAATTCTGGTTTCAGAAATAAATTTTAATCATTGTAACTAGGCTCAAACACATCTTTATCAATCAAAATAGGAACTATTACAGTCAACACATTTTTTATTAATTTTTAATTAATTTATTTTAATGGGAGGCTAATTATTTTACAATATTGTACTGGTTTTTGCCATACATTGACATGAATCAGCCATGGGTATATATGTGTCCCCCATCCTGAACCCCCCTCCCACCTCCCTCCCCATCTCATCCCTCAGGATCATCCCACACACCAGCCCTGAGCACCCTGTCTCATGCTTCGAACCTGGACTGGTGATCTGTTTCACATACGATAATATACATGTTTCAATGCTATTCTCTCAAGTCATCCCACCCTCACCTTCTCCAAGAGAGTCCAAAAGACTGTTCTATACATCTGTGTCTCTTTTGCTGTCTCGCATATAGGATCATTTTACCATCTTTCTAAATTCCATATATATGAGTTAGTATACTGTATTGGTGTTTTTCTTTCTGACTTACTTCACTCTGTATAATAGGCTCCAGTTTCATCTACCTCATTAGAACTGATTCAAATGCATTCTTTTTAATGGCTGAGTAATATTCCATTGTATATATGTACCACAGCTTTCTTATCCGTTGGTCTGCCAATGGGCATCTAGGTTGCTTCCATGTCCTGGCTATTGTAAACAGTGCTGCGATGAACATTAGGGTACATGTATCTCTTTCAGTTCTGGTTTCCTCGGTGTGTATGCCCAGCAGTGGGATTGCTGGGTCATATGACAGTTTTAGTTCCAGTTTTTTAAGGAATCTCCACACTGTTCTCCATAGTGACTGTACCAGTTTGCTTTCCCACCAGCAGTGTTAGAGGGTTCCCTTTTCTCCACACCCTCTCCAGCATTTATTGTTTGTAGACTTTTTGATAGCAGCCATTCTGACCGGTGTGAGATGGTATCTCATTGTGGTTTTGATTTGCATTTCTCTGATAATAAGTGATGTTGAGCATCTTTTCATGTGTTTGTTAGCCATCTGTATATCTTCTTTGGAGAAATGTCTTTTTAGTTCGTTGGCCTATTTTTTGATTGGATCGTTTATTTCTCTGTAATTGAGCTGCTAGAGCTGCTTGTATATTTTTGAGATTAATTCTTTGTCAGTTAGTTGCTATTATTTTCTCCCATTCTGAAGGCTGTCTTTTCACCTTGCTTATAGGTTCCTTCGTTGAGCAAAAACTTTTAAGTTTCATTAGGTCCCATTTGTTTATTTTTGCTTTTATTTCCATTACTCTGGGACGTGAGTCATGAAGGATCCTGCTGTGATTTATGTCAGAGAGTGGTTTGCTTATGTTTTCCTCTAGGAGTTTTACAGTTTCTGGTCTTACATTTAGATCTTTAATCCATTTTGAGTTTATTTTTGTGTATGGTGTTAGAAAGTGTTCTAGTTTCATTCTTTTACAGGTGGTTGACCAGTTTTCCCAGCACCACTTGTTAAAGAGGTTATCTTTTTTCCATTGTATATCCTTGCCTCCTTTGTCGAAGATAAGGTGACCATAGGTTCGTGGATTTATCTCTGGGCTTTCTATTCTGTTCCATTGATCTATATTTCTGTCTTTGTGCCAGTACCATACTGTCTTGATGACTGTGGCTTTGTAGTAGAGTCTGAAGTCAGGCAGATTGATTCCTCCAGTTCC